TGTTCCTGGGTGCGGGCAGCGCTGGCGTGGGTGTCGCCAAGCAGATTGTCGAGTTCTTCAAGCGCGAGGGGTTGACCGAGGATGAAGCGCGATCGTGCTTCTACCTGGTCGACACCAAGGGACTGGTGACGGCGGACCGGGGAGACAAGCTGGCCAGCCACAAGACGTACTTTGCGCGGACGGACAACAACGGCCAGCAATTCAAAACGCTGGAAGAGGTGGTTGACTACGTCAAGCCGACGATGCTGATCGGGCTGTCGACTCTGGGCGGCGTGTTCACGCCGGAGATCATCAAGAAGATGGCGGAGTGGAACCAGGCGCCGATCATCTTCCCGCTGTCGAACCCGTCAGCCAACTCGGAGTGCGATCTGGAGACGGCGGTGACGCACACGGACGGGCGGGTGCTGTTTGCGTCGGGCTCGCCCTTCTCGCCGGTGACGTTCACGAATTCGGCCGGAGAGACCAAGGTGTACCACGGCGGGCAGGGGAACAACATGTACGTGTTTCCGGGGATCGGGCTGGGGACGATCCTGGCCAAGGCGGTAGAGGTGACGGACAGCATGATCTACGCGTCGGCGGAGGCGCTGTCCAAGACGCTGACGCCGGATGAGGTCGAGCAGGGCCTGCTGTACCCGGACGTGTCGCGGATCCGCGAGGTGAGCGTGGTGGTGGCGCGGCACGTCATCCGGGCGGCGCAGGAGGCCAAGGTGGACCGCGAGACGAGCATCAGCGGGCTGAGCGATGCGGATCTGGACGCGTGGATCAAGGCGCGCATGTACAATCCCCACGGGGAGGTGGCCGCGCTGGAGCGCGAGGTGGGGGCGCTGCTGTCGTCGATCGGCCGGCCCAACAGGCTGGTGAATGGAGACGACAAGCACGCCAAGCTGTAGGCTGTAGCCTCAGCCCGTAGGTAGTTTCGTCGGGAGAACGCGGGGATGATCTTCGTCGTGCATATCCTTATTTTTCGTGGCTGTTCTCGTTTTCTTTCCTAATCTCTCCGGTCGGTTGTTAACAGGTTCTAGATTTGGCGGGCAGGATCGGACAAGTACCAATACCCTTAGCATATATACTTAGCATAGGTATAATTTAGCATCTATTACGGAGAATAAAGTTTTTGCATGTGATCTACTCCCGTCAGTACAGGTACTATTATTATTTAGAAATATCTAACCTAGGAAGCATATACAAGTAGACGGGAGTAGTAGGATGGCATCATCCCGAGCCCAACCCTAACTAACCCGGTAGCAAAAAAAAAAAACACAGCTCCCTACGATATATCTATTATTTAAAAAAAAAACAAAAACAAAAATAAAGGTCATATTTTACTTCAAATAATTTATTTCAATATATATCATGAATAAGGCGATCTTTTTAGAATTAGGGGCTTATTTTTTTTTTTCTTTTTTTTTTTTAAAAAAAAAAAGAAAGGATTTTTCATATTCAATACCGCCGGTCAGACTCGTGTTTACCATCCCAGTCACCGGGCTACCTCGCCTCGGCAAACTTCGTCCACAGCGGCTCATGCAGCAACCTGTCCAAGCAACTCGCCTCTACACCGACCAGAACCTCGATGCCACCGTCCGGCAGCACTGGGAGAACAACCTGTAAGCCGTTGATGACGCCAACATGGGGCGCTCGCACGGCGTCAATCTTGCCGCCCAGCAGGGATCCCCAATCCAAAGAATACAACTCAAAGTTGACCCACGAGGTCTGCACGCAGTTGAGACCGGGGACATCCAGAAAAGCCGTCGGAACAAGCCGATTCACGTCTTCGAGCTTCTCGATGAGGGCCGTCACATCGTCGGTGAACTGGCCGTCAGCGCGCTGGAGCGCCTTGCGGATCAGAATGGCCAGGTCGGCCAGGCTGGCCGAGCCGAGTATCTTGCGGATGGGAGCCGAGACGGCGACGTACTCGAGGAAGCAGCCCAGGGTGTTGGGGTGCACGGGCGGATCGGTACGCTTGCGTCCGTCAATGGCGATGTTGAAGACGGACACCGGATCGCCCTCGAGCGAGTCGAGTGGCGACTGCACCGCCATGACTGTGCGCCAGAGCAGCGCCGAGAGGGCGTCGTTGGTGGAGATCCAAGCCTGATCAGACGGCTCGGTCGCGTTGGCCGGCGAAGCCTCAGCCTTCAGCGAGGCCAGGGCAGCAGGGGAGAAGTAGAAGACCTGTCCGCGATGGTTCGGGGACAGCATCTTGGGCGGCGCCCCCGGCGGCGTGAAGGGCAGGAGCGTGTACTCAGGGTGGTCCTTCAGCGATCCAGGGTTGCGACCCGAGGGCTTCATCAGGCGTTCTCTGTCACTAAAAATAGCTTCGGCAAGCTCAACGGGCTCTGAGATTTCCAGACCCTGTGCACGACGGCACTCTTCTGCCCATACCTTGGTCCAGGTGTAGAACGTCGTGCCGTCACCAACCATGTGGAAGATGCACCACGTCAGAATCAGGCCGCCGTGGATGAAATTGGCCTGCACCAGAGAGACGGGCAGCCGCTCGCCGGGCGATGGCCAAACAGAGCGGCGACACAGCGTTTCGGCGTCGAACGCAGACACCGGGAAGGCCTTCGACTTGAGCTCCGCATAAGTCAGTGGAAAGGCGGCGTGCGCTCGCAAATCCTTGACGACGATGTCTTCGATCTCTCCGTCGTTCAGTCTCTGCAGCTTCAACACGCCGGCCTGCTTCGAGTCGGCATCCGGCACGGCCTCACATGCCAGCACTGAAATCCGCTGCTTGGCGGCATCGTACCCGGCCTTGAGGACACTGGCGACTTTGCTGATGTCATAGTCCTCTGAGAGCTGGAAGGGGAAGACGTAGCGGAGGTAGCCCTTGGGGCCGATGCGCTCCAGGGGCGTGAGCGTCGGGATCTTGCTGAAACCTTGCACAGAACCCATTGCGAGACGCGAACTGGGGATTGTTCTAGAGCGGTGAGAAGCAGCAAAAAAGCACAGTCACAAAGAAGGGAGCTGAGGATCTGGTCAGGCCTCGCTTAATATCAATCCCTAGTCTGACCGTCTGTTGCTCGCCTTTATCTCCAGTCGACAGGAGATACTTTCGCTTATCTCGGCAAGGAGGGATTTGGTGGATTAGTGAACTGGTGTGGGGGTAATGACATCCCCTGGACTGTTCCTTCTGTGACAACGCATCCTTGACTGGGTTCGGTGAATTGGGGTCAGCACGATGTCTTGACACATCGTGTGCCTCAAATCCCACAACGCCAAGGATCCGACAGTCTTCATCCCCTGAGTTGCTTGCTCCATGTTACGCTGCATGCGGTGGAAGAAATCAACGCCGTACCCTTCAAAGTGATCTTGTCAAGATATTGTCGATTTCTCTTGAATTCGGTTCGGGCGAAAAGACCGCCCGGAATGAAGACCAGCTCAGAATCCGTTAGCAGACCAGTCTCGATTTCTCCTGTCCAGCCTTTCAGGGGCCCGACTCTTCAGTGGCTGCTAATGCAGCAGAGACTTGGACTCACACATAGTATGACATGGATTAGAGTGACCGTTGGACGGGCCGCTAGGCTCTCGGCTTAACCACCCGTGCCAAAAAGACCACAAGAGGATAGCACCCACCCGCTTATATAGTAGGCCTCTCTAGGCTATGCCTGACACTGGACGCCCATCGGACTCCGCATGGCCAGGCTGCCGCCGGTCACTCTAGTCTGTTGCACGGCTGCGCGTCCAGCGGAGCTGTCCGGGTCATTCAAGAGGTTTAGGGTGTAAATCCTCTTTGCCTCCCACTGTAAACTTTTAAGATAGTGGCCCCTATTGCCCCCCTTGTTTATTTAAGCATATGACACCTTCCCTACCCAACATCGTGGTCAGAATGTTGGCCTTTACAATTGGTTTACATCCCGCTGCTAAACCTCTCTAATGAGTCGGACTGTCGACTATCTCTCTTTGCAGCATGGCACAGTCATGGTGCGACCGTTTGCAATTTGCATCCTCCCCATCTAGTTCTTAATCCCATTACTTCCTTCTTCTTATCTCTACCTAGGTAAGTACAGAGAGCATTTCGTCCTTCTTTCCGTATCTGTCCAGTCCTTCGACGCAACATACACGGATTGCAATGGCAATTGATCCACGCATCGTTGCCGTCTTTGGGCCGCCGCCCGCAGGCGTAGACCTGGCCGACAGTCGTGTGTCTGAAAACAACGCTGCCGTGGCTGTTCTGCTAGGTCTCGCGACAATAGCAGTGATCCTGCGGTTCATCGCGAGAATCATCCAGCGTAGTGGCCTGATGGCCGACGACTGGACTATCATTTTGGCTCTGGTATGTTCATATCCAACCCACTGGAGCCACGAAGCCACGAAGCCGAGAGCATCAGCTGCTGACAAGGCCCCCTTTCTCTGTAGCTCTTCGTAGGCGGGACGACTGGTCTGAGCATAGCAGGCGAGACTTTCTCCAATGGCTTCTCTGAAAGCATGAGCTAACAGTGTCAGGCGGTACCTTCGGTGCCGGAAAACACATTTGGGCTGTCACCTTGCCTGGCCTTACCCAAATTTTCAAAGTGAGTCTCCCGTTTTCACACACCTGCTCGTGTTGTCCTTCCTGCTAACGGTAATGCGCAGATCCTATACTCCTACACGTTCATCTATGCAGCCGCTTGCTCTGCCACCAAGGTCTCCATCCTTTTTTTCTACCAACGCCTCTTCATGACCTCAACCTCGGACCGGTCTTTAAGACTGTCGATCATCTTCTGCTTCTTCCTCGCGCTCTCATATCCGATCATCATCTGGGTGACCATGGGAAATTGTTGCCGGCCAGTGTCCTTCTACTGGACCCAATTTAGCGGGACCAAGGGGGAGTGTATCGACGTCAAGACGTTCTTTCTTGCACTCGGCATCATCAACATGCTCAACGACGTCATCGTTCTGGCGGTTGCGTTCCCACCGATCTTGAAGCTGCAGATGTCGAACAGGAAGAAGGCGGCCGTGTGCGGCATCATGCTGCTGGGAAGCTTGTTAGGAAGGACCCGACTCCTGAGGCCTGCCGGGCGTGCTGGCTGACTGGTATTACAGTGTCTGCGTCGCCAGTATCGTGCGCATCTATTACCTCTCCGAGTTCACCAAGGCCATCGACGTCACCTGGCTGATGGGCCCCGTGTTCATCTGGTCCACCATCGAGCCATCCATCGGGATCGTCTGCGCGTGTCTGCCACATCTAGCCCCCCTTGCCAAGTTAGCCCACAGAAAGGTGTCGTCCAGTTTCGGTAGCAAGAAGTCGGGGCCCTCGTATCCGAGCACACCATGGAGATCCCGCAGCGGTGCTGGACAGGGTTCACAGAAGGGGACTCCGTTGTTCACCTTCGGAGGAGATAGAATGAAGGTGGTGGAAGCAGATGACGAAATCGGTCTGACAAGCCATGTGACGGCGGGCTCTGGTCCGCGCAAGGCGCACTCGAATCGGGTCTGGGTCGGAGGATAATGTTCATGACCACTCGATCGTTGTGCAGTCGAGCTTTGTGCAGTCGACCTCGAAGAAATAAGCTTCCATACTCCTACGGAACATGCTCGCCTTTCCGAAGACGCAGCTGATGGCTCCGCATGAACCTGCCAGCGAGTAGAACGAGCTGTACGATTTACCAACAAGAAAACCTCATGTACATACAATCAGCACTCGCCCTGTAACATTGCCTCCAACATAGCCCTCCTCAAGCCCTATTTCTCTGGCCTGGTTCAATGAAATTATCCTGGCGTAGAGTACTAGATAGTCGAATGTGAGAGGCTCGCAATCAAGACCTGATGCACACACTTCATCATCCTCGTGGATGATGAACTTTCCTGACGGTTCCGTTGGGAAAAGTTGTACGGCGTTACGGGCGGCGTGACCGCGGGCGCCATACCGGAAGCGGGAAAACTAACCCGATCCCGTAATTCTCAGGTCCTCGTTTTACATACTCTTAACTTAAAACCATGACAAGCATTCTCTGGATTTTAAGGACTCAAACTTCACTTTCAGTCTCAGCACAAATGAATAACTTCATGGTAATATCTTAACAGACTACACCACTCCAATGGCAAAGGTTAGCAGGACAACGCTCTTCACCTAGTTGACCAGTCTACACAGCTCACACTTAGAACCATAGTCACGTCTCTGATATAATGAGACCAAAAAAAAGAAATCGCTGGTCCCGACGAGGGTCGAACTCGCGACCTTGGCGTTATTAGCACCACGCTCTAACCGACTGAGCTACGGGACCTGATTTGTTGAGAGGCCAACACCTTAGGGACTAATCAAAGGAGTTACAGCAGGGATATAGTAGTGGGAATGTTTTAGATGGGATAAAAAGTTGTGAGAGGGGTTCCTTTTAAATAAAAAAGAAAGATAAGAGGTGAACGAAAACGAGGGAATGGTTACTGTCAACAAAAAAAAACTGTTGCTTTGTACTGTCTGTACAGTACATTGGAACCGTGCTGTGAGGTAAGTAGTTGCTCGGCAATTTATATATTTTCTACATGTGTATGGTACTGAGCATAACTTACCCAGAAAACTTTCTCCTGTACAGTATCAATAATAACTACATATATACGAATACTATACTTTATGCCTATTTATATCATCTATGCAGTCGTTCGACTGCTCCGCTCGTCATGTTACAGATTCTGCAGCGTATCAAAATCCGGCATCCACAACGGCGACCCAGCCTCGTCCTGGTCGATCCACGGCGCCAACTCCATCGCCATCCGCATCGCGTCGTCGCCAATGTCGAATTGGAATTGGAATTGAGATTGAGATTGAGATTGCGATTGAAACGGGTCTCCTGCGCCGGTTTCAGCGGATGTCGATGGCGCTGCCATCCCTGGTCCTGCAGGTGCAGGTCTAGGGCCCTCCTGGTTGACACTCTGCGCAGCCATCATGCCCGCCATTCCCGACGTGGTCGCCGCCTCGTTCCCCTGCAGCTTCTCCATCGCCGCGTTGACCAGCAGCTCAAACGCGTCGCGGTACTTCTTCACCCAGGCTGCCCGCTCGCTCATGACGAACAGCACCGTCGAGCACGCGCGGATGTCGTTGCTCATCCGCACCGACCACACCTTCTCCGTGTTCGTCCACAGCGCGTACAGCAGCGTGATCCCCGCACGAAGACCGTCTGCACCGCCAGGAACGAATGCCCGTACTCCAGCGTCTGGTGCAGCTTCTTGTGCGTCTGGCAGATGTCGCCCGCTGCCCGGAGGCAGATGTGGTAGTACGGGTCCGTGACGGGCAGCAACGGCAGGAAGGGCTGGATGAGCAGTCGCACCGACCGGTTGAAGTGCAGCGTCGGATAGTCCAGCTCTGAGCCGTGGAATCGTGGCAGCACCGACGCTTTCCACTCCTCCAGCTCGCGGTACAGTTTGTCCATCTTCGGCCGCAGCGTGTGCAGCGGGCGGTCTGCACGGTAGATCGAGTGCTGGATCTTGGAGTCGATCTGCCGCAGTCGGAAGAGGGCCACAGCCAGGGAAAGCGTCGTGACTTTTGTTGGAGGCGGTGGTGAGCTCAGAATGGCTGGGTCTCGGATATCATCGTCAATATCTAGAGGTAGATCCAGGTCGATGTGACGATCGGCAATACTGAACGGCCGTCCCAACGACAGCGAGATGGCCCGTTCGAGATAGTAGACGGTCCAAAACAGCCGTCGGCGGAGCTGGGCCGTGAACGGATCCAGGTGAGCGGTGTTGGCCTTGCGGTGCAGACCCAGGTCGATGCACGTCCGCATTGCCAGGCCGATCATGTACCACAAGCCGTGGCTCGTCGCCGAGCGAAGATGATAGATGACCAGCAGCGTCATCGCCTCGACATTTTGGACTGATCTTGTTTCGCATGCAGCAGACACGTGCTGAAGAGCCGTCATATAAAACCTCTATCCTCATTAGTCCCGTACTGCAGCAGCATTAAGTCATAGTCATACCTCTGGCGCAATATAGGTATACTTCTCACTGAGCTGGATCATTGTCGCCGCAATCGCATACACCAGATACAGCTTGAAAATCCCAAACCTTTCCGCCTGGGACAGGTCCTCCGGTTTTGTCCGCGCCAGACGCCATCGATCTTCGTGCAGGCGCCACAGCTCCGCCCGGTCGAGAAACGGGTACCGGGTATGGAGACGGTTCAAGTAGGCGTTGAGAATCCGCGATCCCATCTCGTCGTTGGGGGGATCTGCGCGGTTGGCCAGCAGCTCGTCCAATTTGATGCTTTGGCTGCCGTTGGAGGAGTCGCCGCCGTTATTCGACGCTTTCTGGCGTGACGACGCAGCCGTACCGTCGGTCGATGTCGGGATGGCTTTGTTCAAGACGGTTGTCCGGACCATCTCGCCCAGGTTGACGGCGAGCGAGAGTCCCGAGCTGGAGCCGACATAGGCCGGCGTCTCCAAGGAGCCCAGGGTGAGGAAGCCGACGATCTCGCCGAGGGCATTGCTCCCGGTGCCGGCCAGCCCGGGCGATGCGTTTTGCGGCTGCGACACCGCGGCGATGGGATGGACGACGCTGCTGGCGTTGGCCGTCGTGACGGGGTCATCGGCGGCCCGGGATTCGAACTGGGCGAGCTTCCCTTCGAGGTAGGCGATGCGCTCTTCGAGAGCACGGGTGTAGCTGCAGGTGTCAGCACTTCCATATTACCATTTAAATAAATTTACAGGAAGGGCTTACCCCGAAGAATAGCCATCGCGACCCAGCGAGGCCTTGTCACATTCGGCGCGGGCCTTGCGACAGTTGGAGCAGACGGGGTATTCATCATCGCACTGGCCGTAATTAGCAGGGAACAATCGGTATTTACATGCTCACAGACAGCTTACTTTCTGCTTGCGGTTCTTGCAGCGCGTGCATGCGGTGCGGCCACGCTTGCGCGGGTTGGACTCGCTGCTCGATGGGGACGCCGTCGTGTAGGCGGACGAGGGCAGAGGGGCTTCCATCAGGCAGGCGGTCAGGCCGCATTTTTATGATCTAATTGAAGCGATTGATATCGACGAGAGCAATATGACCAGGGATCCTGTTCATGATGTCAGCGATCAGCGATCTGATGGCGGCCATGGCACTAGTCCGAAACAGGAATCCAGAGTAACCACTTCCTATTCAGGAATAGACATCACGTGACTAGAAATATGAAAGTACACGATGAAAAGACAATAATGCAGGATCTGAAATCGAAGACATATCGAGATCATCCATTGTACAGAGTAATTATCATAGTATCAGGACCAAGGATTACTAATTGATGCCTTGTCATTTTGCATACACTGCAAGTATGCAACACTCCGCAGGCGGCATCGGATAAATATCCGATCGGACCTCCGATGGCGCGTCGGAAGGTCCGATGAGTCAGCGAAGAATTCTCACCAACAAATTCCATTCATTCTTATGCTTCGTTTTAAACAGGGCTGCATGTGCATTCAGATGCCTGATACACGTGTCCGGCAGTGGCTCAGCCTGGTATGTCGGAGTATATACTGTGCAGTCCGTAGTAAGATGATATACCATATCAGTTAAAGTTGAGAATTATCTTTGCTAAGAGTACTAACAGGACGATGTTGATAATTGCGGTGATAATTCTATGGTTACGTATCAATTATATACTACTAGAACTAGCGTAACTCGTTAAGGCATTCAGAAATAATGATATATTTATTTTTATAAGTACCATACACATATTTTTTTTTAAATGAAGAAAGAAATCCATCTCATCGGACCTCCGACGATCTAATCTGACAGTAGCACCCGGATCCACTCCGTTCGGTTGAGTCGGCACCGCACGCCGCCGCATCAACCAACTGCCCAACTCGCCAATGGCGGGCAAATTTATCGCGATAGCACAGTTGACAGGCGCGTATGCCTTAGTCGGTGGAGAATGATCAAGATGGATTTTTGCCCCCGGCGCGGTGAGTTGAAGATATATAGCCCGTATCGACGCGGTCTAATCAAGCCACAGTTTACTGCTTAGTACGGCGTACTATACTACTACTATCTACTCCTGAGATTGCAATTACTTGACTTGATTTGGTCCATGTGCTTCATGCCACTGCAATCTCTACACACAGGGTGATTGATCATGGGCCGCCATCGCAATGCCGAAAAAAACCTGCAGGACCAGACCAACATCCTCCCCATCGGGCAGCTGCTGGTCGTCTTCGCCGGCCTGGCCTCGTCGCTGCTGATCTGCTTCGTCGACCAGAATGGCATCGGCGTCGCCCTGCCCACCATCGGCCGCGACCTGCACGCCCAGGACACCATCTCCTGGGCCGGCACCTCCTCGCTGATCGCCAACACCATGTTCACCGTCCTGTACGGCCGCCTGTCCGACATCTTCGGCCGCAAGAGCGTCTACCTCTGCGCGCTGGGCCTGCTCTGCATCGCTGACCTGCTCTGCGGCCTGTCCCAGAATGCGCCCATGCTGTACGTCTTCCGCGGCCTGGCGGGCATCGCCGGCGGCGGCATCACGTCGCTGACCATGATCATTGTCTCGGACGTTGTCACGCTCGAGGACCGAGGCAAGTACCAGGGCATCCTGGGCGCCTGCGTCGGCACGGGCAACGTCATCGGCCCCTTCATCGCCGCCGCCTTTGTGCAGCACTCGACCTGGCGCGGCATCTTCTGGCTGATCAGTCCACTCGCGGCCATCAGCGCCGTCATCGCCTGGTTCCTGCTGCCCAGCAGGATGCGCCGTGATGCCATTAAGAAGAACCTCAACAAGATCGACTACTTTGGTGTCCTCACCGCGTCGGTGGCCATCATCTTTCTGCTGATCCCCATCTCGGGCGGCGGGCTGTACTTCAACTGGGACTCGCCCATGGTGATCAGCATGCTGGTGATCGGGGGGTGCTCGCTGTTTCTGTTCTTGTTCGTGGAGTGGAAGGTGGCCGCTCTGCCGATGCTGCCAAGTGGGTGCCAGGAACATTTATCAGAGTTAAAACATCCAATCTAATAACGACTGCAGTGTCCTTCTTCCGAGACCCCGTTATCTCGACCCTGTTCATGCAGAGTTTTTTCCTCGGTGCCGGTTACCAGTCGTACATCTACTACCTGCCGCTGTACTTCCAGAACGCGCGCGGCTTTACGGCCATCGAGTCGGCGACGATGACTCTGCCGATGGTGCTGTTCCAGTCCATCGCTTCGATTCTGTCGGGGCAGTACATTGCGCGAGTCAAGCGGTACGGCGAGGTGATCTGGGCTGGATTTTTCCTGTGGACGCTGTAAGTCTCCAGATAAATCGAGTATGTGTAAATAGATTTGTTAACAAGTCCAGGGGCGCCGGCCTTGCCCTGATGTTCAACGGCACGACCAGCAAAGGTGTTATTGTCGGCGTCATGATCATCGTCGGCGTCGGTATCGGCTTCACCTTCCAGCCGACGCTGGTCGCGCTGCAGGCGCACTGCACGCTGGCCAAGCGGGCCGTCGTCATCTCCGACCGAAACTTCTTCCGCTGCGGCGGCGGTGCCTGTGGGCTGGCCGTGTCGGCGGCGATCCTGCAGGCCGTGCTGAAGGCCAACCTGCCAGCGAACTACGAGTATCTGGCGCACTCGACGTACGCCATCCCGGCGCGGTCCAGCGTTTCGGCGGCCGACTGGGACGGCATCATGAACGCGTACCTGAGGGCGTCGCACGCGGTTTTCATCCTGCAGGTGCCACTAATCGGGCTGTGTTTGCTGGGGTGTCTGTTTGTGCGAGATCGTGGACTGGAGCGGCCCAAGGAGAAGGATGAAGAAGGGCAGCCAGACCAGCAGCAGCAACAGCAGCAGCGGAAGCCAGACAATCAAACCGAGTCCCAAGAGGCAGAAGCTGATTCTGCCACTGACAAAGAGCCGAACCTGGAGAAGATCGACGCCGGTCAAGCGTCTCCAGGAACTGAGACTGACACAGCAATGGAAGCAGAAGCTAACGAAGAGACGACTGAAAAATGAGCTGAGAAATTCTTCATATCATATCTTCACGAAGAGATGCGAATCAGAGAACAAAAAAAAAGAGGATACGCATAATAATAGACCTGATTATGATAGGCATGGGCATGGCATGGCATGGCATAGACATGAAAGGGCATACCGAATACGTTTTCTACGATATTGTGTACTGTACTTACATAGCGAACGATAATAGAGCAATTAATATTTAATTTAAAAAAATCTAGACGTGCTAGTTTGCACATTTCCTCTCAGCATACTATTCCAGCATGCTAGTAAATTAAAGCCATGGACAATAATAATGACAGTGGCTTTTGCGCGGTTATGCCCGCTAATCTGGATCGGGCACGAGGGTGATGATTTTCGTACTTAATATCTAAAAATATTAATTACTTTTTTAGTGGTTAGTGATGTTAATTAATCAATTAATACTGAATATTTTTTTATTATTATTAGATGATAATGTTCCTATGCTTCGATGAAGATGCAGCGTCATTCCGCTAGCGCAGCTGTGTTCCTCACCTACCTTATGACTACTAGTATTGACTACTGCACTGTGCATTAAAAGATGCCAATGACATTTGAATTTCCTGATGGATGCAGGGGCTGTGCAACGTGCTTGATCGCCAGCAAGGCTGGTAGGGGCCTTGGCTGCAGCCGCGCTGTCGATCATTATTGAAACTGTTTCAGCCTTGCGGTCGGCTGGACATTTAAGAACTGAAAAGAAGAACAAGAGCTTTACCTAGCCATTGAGGGAGAATACGCATGTCAAATCAATGGACATAGGTACAGTACAACTCTCGATCTCTGCAGCAGTACCGCTAATACAAGCAGCGGCAGACGCTCGACGCGACAATATCCATCGGTGGCTCTCCGCCCCCGATCCATCCCGCAACCACGATGCCGCTCGCAAGGGACGACAATCAGAGACGGGCGTCTGGTTTCTTGAGAGTCAGGAATTCTCCGACTGGAAGGCATGTCCTGACACGCTGCTCTGGCTGTACGGGATTCCTGGGTGCGGAAAGACGGTTCTGAGCTCGACAATTATTGACGACATTCTGCACGCCTGCCAGCTCCGACCGTCCAGTGCAGCGGCGTATTTCTATTTTGATTTCAACGACGTCGGGATGCAATCGGCTGAAAACATGCTCCGGTCGCTGCTCACACAGCTTGCTGCCCAAAACAGCACCCCTCGGGCGTTGGAGACGCTTTTCTCGTCGAAGATGGATGATGGCAAGAACCAGCAGCCCTCGACAAAGGAGCTTCTCGCCGTTCTGCGGCAGACGATCCTCGAATTTGAGGAGACGTTCATTATTGTGGATGCTCTGGATGAGTGTGCAAAACGAAAGGAGCTTTTGGGCATGATTAAGGAGATCGCCGGCTGGAAGACCGGCAATCTGCATACGCTCGTCACGAGTCGAAGAGAGCCAGATATCGAGGAGTGTTTTGAGAGTCTGCCTCAGATTAAAAGAGTCTCGATTCAGAATGCGCGGCTGAATGAGGATATCCATCTCTACGTGAACGAAAGACTGCGGACGGATCCGAAGTTGCAAAGATGGAGAAACCAGCCGGAGGTGCAGAAGGAGATTGCGGACAAGTTGATGGAGAAGGCTGATGGGGTGTAAGTCGATGCGAAGCTTTAAATAAAAATTGAACCATGCACTGTTTATACAAGGCTTCACGACAGGTTCTGATGGGCTGCTTGCCAGTTCGACGCGTTGGAGAACTGCCTCGATCTGTCAATGCTCCGACAAGCTCTGGCTTCGTTGCCCAAGACGCTAGACGACACATACGATCGAATGCTCTGCAGGATCGACGACGAACACGCCGGCATCGCTGTGAAGATCCTGCAGTGGCTGGTATGCTCCACTCGGCCGCTGTAGCTTGACGAACTGGCCGAAGTGGTGACAATCGACATCAACTCGGAAAAGCGATTCGACCCCGACAGACGCTTTCCGGAGCCGCGGGATATTCTCTCGATCCTCCCGAGTTTACTCGTGACGACGGCGTCTGACGCAGACTCTTCCGAGCGGCCGCAGGTAAGACTGGCGCATTTCTCCGTCAAGGCTGTCGGAGAGGATCCAAACGGGGCCAGCAAGTCGATATGCGATCCGCAAGGCGCAAGCCAATGCGTCCATCGCAGAGGACTGTCTTGCGTATCTCTTGCAGTTCGATCGCCCCTACTATGCCATCTCCCCCGTTGTTGCAACTTCTCCACTGCTCCGATACGCGGCCAACTACTGGCCAAAGCATGCTCAGCTGGCAGCAGCAGCAGCAGGGAAAGTGAACCAGCTGATCATGGAGCTTTTCCAGCCAGGAGAAGCCTATCTCAACTGGGTGGCGTTTTTCGATGGCTACACGCCCGTCGAGCAGCTTCAACAGAGTGCCCACCCCGCTCTACTACGCGGCATCATTCGGTCTGACCGAAGTGGCACAACTTCTGCTTGACAGCGGAGCTGATGTCAATGCCCAGAGCGGCCCTGCCGGTTGCTCTCTGGCTGCAGCTTCTCTCGCCGGGCACGTCGAGACGGTGCAGCTGCTGCTCGACCGGGGAGCAGACATCGAGGCGCCCGCCGGCCTCCTGGGGGGAAACGCACTGCTATTGGCGACGACGAACGGACACCGCGAAGTCGTCCGGTTGCTGCTTGAGCGGGGAGCCAACGTCAATGCTGAAGGAGCATCAGATGACGATGATGGTGCAACCGCCCTGCAGGAAGCTGCGTATCGCGGCGACAGGGAGATTGTGCGCAGTTGCTGCTCGACAAGGGTGCTGATTGGGATGCCAGTGGGGGACGATATGGCACTGCATTGCGGGCGGCTGCAAAGGGAGGGCATATGAAGATTGCGGAGGTGTTGGCAAATTAAGGACAAATATCTATCTAGGAATCATCGTTAGCACAATTGCCCCATACGGAGTATTATAAGAGAAAATGATACAATAGTGGCTTGCCCCAACAACTAATGATGAGACTAGAAGATATCTACATTGATTTTCACAGTAGTACGTACTGTACATACAGACATGTATTTACTCTCCCCGCTGCCCACAGCAGCTAGCAGGGATCAGATCAGGCCACGTAGATGCTGCTAATGTAGCTGCATTGAACACTTTAGGTATTGTATGTACAGGGGTGAAACTGCACTGGAAGGGCTAACATATCCCCGCATTAAGCGATCGAACAGTGACAGGATGACAAGAGTCAGTCTGGCCAGTACGATAGAACAAAAATGCTGATAGCCCTGCAGGTGGCTTACTAAGGATATCTAGGTAGTGCTGACGGTATCAGAAACTGGACCAGAATCCAGAAGAGCAGTTGCTTTTTTTTATAATAAGACCTCGAGGTATCCCTCTCGCTCTAGGTTTCTTTCTTTCTGCTGCTGCAGTCTGCATACTCTACTCTCTACTCCGTCTCTCTCCTCGACGAACGAACGTCGAAGCCGTTGGAGCCATGGCTCAGAATCAGATTCCCTCCACTCAAAATCCAAAACCAGCTGAGAATATCCTGGAAGTACATGTGAGTGAATAAGCATCTGAGCTGAGCACTCCTGCACCATGTTCTACTGACGTGGTTTGTTTTTCGTTTTGGTCAGGATACCCCTGCAGAAACCGATTCTGTTTATTATGAATCGTGAGTCGATTCAACCATCAATCCAACCGTGACAACCTTTGATTATTTTCTATAGCATTGGCACAGCTAGCTACGTGTCCTCTCTCAGTCCAAGTGTCAGAAACTACAAGTAATAATAATGCAATGCAATGGTTATCTTCTAACGAGATGATCCATGGTTTAATAATAATAATAGATATGAGGTAAGTCTCTCTCTGACTGAGGTAATATCTACTTTATTCAAAGAGTAGTGTTAACACTTTCCAGAATGGACGCCGATACCACGCATACCACGAAGGAACATATATTCTGGTATATATATTTATATACATTCTGGTGATATATATATATACATACACTATTCTGTCTGCTCTAATCCTTCACAACTATGACTGAGCAAGTTCACTTTTATTGCTAGCCCAACGACGAAGAAGAACAAGACCGGATCGACCTCCTGCATCATATCTACCTCCTTGTCCTTGGTGGAAGACTTCATCTTGCACCGATTGGCAGGAATCTTCAGCGTGTATTGGACCTTGGTACTGGGACGGGGATCTGGGCTATACAGTTTGCTGAGTAGGTGCATTCTCGTTATACATGTATGTACATATATAGGTTTGTGGCTGATGTCGAGGTCTATATACAGTGAATATCCTTCTGCGCAAGTTATTGGCACGGATTTGAGTCCTATACAACCTCCTTGGTAATTGCTTTCAATCTACGTTCATGCTCTTTTTCTTCTATCGATGTTGGAAATTTGTCACTAAGCCAAAATAAATGCCACGGCCTTCGCCTCTTGGCTGGATGGTTTTATTGTAGTACATGTACATACATACCTTTGATGCTCTTACCTGTGAGAACACGCTAACAGCAGGTGTGAAAAATCAGGGTCCCTCCGAACTGCACATTCGAAATCGACGACTTTGAAAAAGACTGGCTCTTCAAGACCAAGTTCGACTTTATCCACGGCCGTGAGCTAGAAGGCTGCATCGCCGACACAGACCGGCTTTTCCGTCAGGCGTTCGACCATCTCAAGCCTGGCGGATACTTTGAATTGGACGCCTTTTATGCCTATTGGCTCTCAGATGATGATACCGCAAGCAAGGCTACAAATAGTCAAGCATGTAGTAAGATGCTCCGCGAAGCTGCTGAGAAGTTCGGCAAGAGCTTTGAGATGGTGCCCTTGTGGAGGGAAAAGATGGAAAAAGTGGGGTTTGTGGATGTGAGGGAGTCTGCTTTTAAGGTTGGTATATACATATATTTTTTTTTTCAAAATCAGTTTTAATTTTTTTTAAAAAAAAACGACTAATTATAATCATGATGCAAAGATCCCCGTCGGCCCCTGGCCCAAAGACCCCAAGATGAAGGAGATTGGCCGCTTCCAGCAAATTCAGCAGATCCAGGCCGTTGAATCCTACGCTCCGGTACTTCTCTCACGTGTCCTTGGATGGAGTTCTGCAGAGAGAGAGGCGTTGGTGGCAAAAGTCTGTACTGAGTTGAAGGATCGTTCGCTGCATCTGTATGCGCCTATGTACTTTGTTTATGGGCGGAAGCCTTGAGTAGACAAAGTCTGCTAGAAGCTCTGGTTTTTTTTTTCGCACTTCTCCTGCAGTGTAGGATTTCTTTCTTTCTTTCTTTTTCCTTTCTTTTATGTGCGATTTTGTTGTCGTTTTCGGGCTATGCTTTACGTATGAACAGGATCAGGACTGTTTATGCTTTTCTACAGAATACAGTATCCAGGGGCTTCATTTAGGAAAACTTTGGACACGTGGTACATATATCCTTCACTGTTTAAAGCCAGTTGCTACTGAAAACGGCATGATGCAATTTTATTTCTACTCCTATTGAATATGACATAGTGCGGGGTAAGTCCGGGGTACTCCACAAATGATCAACGCCGCGCATTGTGACTGGCTGCTGCCCCGGTGGCGTCCCGTCTCGGGGAATGCTCCACGCTCGTCCATCATCTGCAATCCCGCCCAATATCACGGCATTCGTCTGCGGCAGTTGACTGACGTTCGATCGATCGATCGTTCGATTCGGTTTCTGGTGCTGTCTCGACATGATGGATTGGCAGCTCTATCTGCAGGAACATGCGCAGGCTGCAATTGCAGCATTCGGCATTCCCATCTGGAGCATTCCTCAGCCAGCCATGACATCATGCCTGCCAATCCGTCAGGTCTAGAATGCGCACGGTCGTGATGCACTGGATGTCCGTGTCCTGCCTATACCTACCTCGGCCACATAGTCTGGTTCGCTGGATGAACCTCTCGGCCGACGCAAGGAGGGGTTGGGGTTGATCGTATATATACGAAGGACTCTGGAATTGCTGTTTCTTCCTGTTAAACCAAACCTGCGATTGCAATCTGTTCTGCCTTCCGCATAACCAGAAAAAAAAATTATGCCTGACACAATCCCCCCCTCGGAGAAGCAGATCGAAAAATCCGTCCATCTGGACGATAATAACCGCGTGTCGGACGACGAGGCCGTCTCCGACTTCAGCCATGTCGACGCCAAGAAGGTGCTGAGGAAGATGGACCTGCGTCTCATCCCCATGCTGGCCGTCTTGTATCTGCTCTCCTTCCTGGACCGGGGGAACATTGGCAACGCGAAGATCGAGGGCCTGGCCGAAGATCTCCACCTGACGGGGGCGCAATATAACTGGTGCTGTAGGAAGAATTCCGCTTTGCTTAAGCCGTGTCCGCCGTCCCCTGTCTAACGCTGAAACAAAAGTGACCGTCTTCTTCTTCACGTATGCCGCGTTTGAAGTCCCGTCAAATCTCCTGCTAAAGCGGTTCCGGCCGTCGGTCTGGCTGCCTTCGATCATGGTCGCCTGGGGGGTTGTCATGGTAAGCAGGCATTTTTTTTAAAAAAAATTTAATTTTATTTAATGTCCTGAGATGATCCAACTGACAGATAGACAGACCCTCATGGGCATCGTCACCAATTATCATGGTCTGCTGCTTGCGCGACTCTTCCTCGGTGTGACTGGTATCTATGCCATTGCCACTTATCTGCACTGCGCCGCCTGGCGAAAAGTTTGCTAACTGCTGGCCTCCTGCAGAGGCCGGTCTCTACCCCGGCGTCGCGTTCTACATTACCATGTGGTACTGTCGCTACGAGGCGCAGTTCCGACAAGCCCTGTTCTTCAGCGCCGCCAGCGTGGCGGGAGCATTTTCAGGTCTGCTGGCGTACGCCATTGCGGTGAGCTTTCCTCTTGTCCCTCGGTTGATATTAGCATTCCACTGACGCACGCAGAAAATGGACGGCGTGGGCGGATACGCCGGATGGCGATGGATCTTCATCCTCGAGGGCCTGGCGACCGTCGTCGTCGCGGTCATCGCCTTCTTCGTCATCTACGACTTCCCTGAAACGGCCACGTTCCTGACAGAGGACGAGCGGGCGTGGGTGATCCATCGGCTGAAGTATCAGGGATCGGACGACCACACGCACGTAGAAGAGGTCGAGCAATTCAAGTGGAAATACGTGTGGGATGCGTTTACGGACTGGCAGATCTATCTCGGGCTGCTCAGTGTGTCGTCCTTCTCTTCGTCAGGAGTGTCTGTTTTTCTGACGCGTATGCAGTGTACTGGGGCATCGTCTGTCCGCTGTACGGCAGTTCGCTTTTCCTGCCGACTATTATCAAGGACCTGGGCTATTCGTCCTCGACGGCGCAGCTGCTGACTGTACATACGTTCCATACAGTATTTATTTTACATCAACAGTAACTGACAGCCTCCAGGTCCCGATCTACATCACCGCGGCCGGAATCTCCGTACTGTCTGCCTGGCTCTCCGATCGAGCCGGCCAGCGGTCTCCATTCATCTTCTTTTTCATGTGCTGCATCGGCTGTGGATTCATTATCTGCCTCGCTGCGTCTGGACGAGGCGTTCCGGGCGTCGTCTACTTTGGCGTGTTCCTGGCTGTCGCGGGTCAGTATCTGTCGGCCATCAATCATTATAAACCCCCATCCTGACGATTCTACAGGCATTTACCCGGCCTTCCCCGGCAACGTCACCTGGATGAGCAACAACCTGGCCGGCGGGTACAAGCGCGCGGCGGGAATGGCCATCCACATTGGCGTAGGCAATCTTGCTGGAGGTGAGTATCCCCCTTAAGAAAAAAGGATACAAACTGGTACCCTATTCGAGTCAACTAACTGACTTGACTGCTCTCAGCAATGGCATCCAACTTCTACCGCCAACAGGACAGCCCGCGGTACGTTCTGGGCCACTCGCTGGAACTGGGCTTTGTCGCCGCGGGCCTCATCGCCGTCGCCGTGCTGCGTTTCTCGTACCAGCGGATCAACCGGCTGCGCGCGGAGAAGGGGACAGGCGGCTACACGGCTGAGGAGATGAGTCGGATGGGGGATCGGTCGCCTGCGTTTCGGTATGCGCTGTAGTAGATGTAGATGTAGGTATAGATATATACGTGTATATATCTATGGTCGGTAGAAAGAGGGGTAGACATTAGATACTAGGTACTAAATACAGTGCATGATGAATGTATGTACATGCCTAGGTAGGAGATAGGTTCTTTATCGTATAGCGATAATGTCTAGGAGCTTTCCTTTAGGGTCATGTATGTACTGTACTTGGAATCGTAGGACATGTTCATCATTGTGCGTGTGGAGTGGAAGAGGTGCACCAGTCGATAAAACTGGATGCCAACATGCTGTAACAGGATCCATAGCCTGTGAAACATGGCTGGGCGAACATTCTATGTTTCTATACTCAGCCTTGTTGCTCCGCGGTTAAGCTAACGCACCAACGTGGAAACCCCGCAGGCGGAGCCCATGCCAATGGTAACTAATTAACAATCACTCTGACTCGCAGCGCAACGCTCACGGCAGAAGATTCTCCAAATGGACCAGCCGCAGCGGCCATCCACATCGACCAGTACCGCCCAGGTCGCGCCCACCGTGGAGGTGGACGAGGATGCGTACAGCACTGTAAGTTGGTGTGCGCAGTCACTTAAGTCACCGCCAGTCTTGGCGCGAGCTGCTTGCTGATCTGATCGGGGCGGACAGAATAATGACAACGCGACGACCTACAGCGAGGAGCTGTATGTATCCACAGCAAGTACGGAGTACATGTGTCCATGATTATTGATTTGCCCGTTCTAGCACAACGTATACCGCATCCTTGACCACGAGTGCCCGCTCCTACGAGTGGAGACACGGCCGACGCTACCACAGCTATCAGGCCGGAAGCTACCAGTTCCCCAACGATGAGTGGGAGCAGGATCGTCTGGACATGGTGCATCATGTCGTCTACCGGCTGCTAGGCGACCGGCTGTTTCTGGCCCCGATCAACCCGGAGGGCATGCGGATTCTCGATATCGGAACTGGGACCGGTATCTGGCCGATTCAGATGGGTTTGTATTCAACCTGCGACAAATCGAGTTGATGGCTGATGTTTTCTTCTAGGTGATCTCTATCCCACAGCGCATGTAGGTCGATGACTCGCTGTACTGTACCGTAAATCTCATGGGCAGTTTCTGACCTTTCAGATCGTCGGCAATGATCTCAGCCCGATTCAACCGCAATGGTAAGCATCTCCCGTCGCGGAACGATCACATATTTTACTTAGTTAATATCTAGGATGCTTCCTCAAAACGTCGAGTTTATGATCGACGACGTGGAACAAGACTGGGTGTGTCCTCAGCCTTATGACTACATCCACTGTCGGTACATGTGTGCCGCGATCCGGGACTGGCCCCGGCTAGTTGAGCAATGTTACCAGTAGTAGCCTGACGCCATCTTTTTTTTTTTCTAAGATGTCCAGCTGACAAGTAACTAGAAACCTGAAACCAGGCGGCTGGATCGAGTTTCAAGATTTCGAAGCCCTGCCGTACAGCGAAGACGACTCCGTCACGCCAGACAACCACCTCATCAAAATGCTGCGCTATCTGGGCGAGGCATGCGACAAGGTCGGCCGGACGTTGAATCCGGGGCCATTCCTGAAAGGATGGGTCGAGCAGGCCGGTTTCACGAGGATTAACGAGCAGATCTTCAAACTGCCGATTGGGGCATGGCCAAAGGATCGTCGACTGGTAAGATTCTACACCTAGATAGAGATAGATACACTGCTAATTAAGGTCCTGCGGTATATGTAGAAAGAGCTTGGGTCATTCATGGCAGTGTCCTTTATCGAAGGTGTCGAAGCCTTCACTCTCACCCCCTTCATTGATGTTCTGGGCTGGTCCAAGGACGAGGTGATGGAGTTTAATGCCAAAGTGCGGCAGGATGTGACGAGGAGAGAGGCCCATCCGATATATAATTAGTGAGTAGAGTCGTCTCTGCTGGTCATAGAGATGGAAATGCTGACGCAATCAATAGCTATGTAGTGACAGCGCAGAAGCCAATATAATGGTATAAATTGAGGTAGAAATCAGGAAATTCATTTAATTTCTTTCTTTCTTTCTTCCATTCGAGTTGGAATTGGCACGAAAGGAAAAGATCGTTAGTCCAATACCCAACCTTTATCGGGGTTATATATCGATATAAGTGAACCTCAGGTTAGTAGAAGGAGACTGTAAGTCTGCAATTCTTTTCCCTTTACCAAAGACTTAATCACCATAACCAACGTCAGACTCTACGAGACTCTCTAGCACAAAATGTACAGTACAGCACATACAATCAGTACTCTTCTTGCTATCCCTCAAGGTCAAACGTCCTCCTCACCAACTCCTCACTCAACCGATACAGCCTCTCCGCCGCATGGACGTCCAGTGCAAACGACGCGGCCTGGGCAAACTGGCAGTCGCTGAGATAGACGTCTGACGGGTCGGGGGGTTCTGCAGGAGTCAGCATGTACAGTACAGTACAGTCTATATGTATGTGTGGTGTGGGTGGTGTACCGTTCAACGCAGGATCAAACGCCGCGACCAGCATCGTCGCTGCCCCCTCGTCGAGGGACTTCCAGTATGTCCCTGTTTTGGCGATGATCTCGGTGCCTTTGTCGTCGAGGTGCCGGCTGAGGTTTGTCCAGATAGCTGTATCAGGAGAGAATTAGCGGTGCTAATTAATTAGGAAAGAGAATGAAACGTACATCCCGGATGTGTTGCATACGACACGATCCCCTTCTCCCGCAACTTCTGGCTCAGATACACCGAAAACAAAATGTTCGCCGTCTTCGACTGCCCATACGCCAACCAGCCATTATACTCCCCGGCCTTGCCGTACACGGCCGTGATCCCTGGCGGAGGCTGCTCCTCAGGGGGCACCTCCTTGCCCTCGATATTGTAGTCATGGAACCGGATAGGCGACAAGCGGTGGCCGGCGCTGGTGACATTGACGACGCGCGTCGAGCCGCCCACGACGCCGGGCTTCGCAGCCGCATTCCTCAACTGCCGCAGCAGCAGCAGCGTGAAGAGGAAATGCCCGAGGTAGTTGGTGCCGAACTGCAGCTCGATGCCCTCTGCGGTCCGCTGCGGAGTCAGTACCATGACGCCAGCGTTGTTGATCAGCACGTCGACCGTGTCGACCGTTGCGGCGATCTGGGCGGCTGCCTGCTCGACGGAGCGCTGGGAGGAGAGGTCCAGCGCGACAATCTCGATGGTTCCCGCTTCTTTGGCCTTGGGCGTGGCGTTGTAGATCTCCTGCGCGACCTGCTCTAGTTTCTCCTTTGTGCGCGACGCGAGGATCAGCTTGGCTGGGTGCTGGCTCGCTATGGCCAGGGCCATGGCTTGCCCGAGGGAGTTGGGCGCGACGCCGGTGATGACGACTACCATGTATCAGCTTGCTGTCACAGTACAGTGTGTTAGGTATATACCATTCTTATTGCGAATCTGACTCGAAAATGCCTTTGCGACCTCTGTCGCGGTGGTCGTTTGGCCGAATTCGGGATGAGAGGTCATGTCGGATTATGTCTGGTAACTAACTGAATCTCAATGGATTAAACAGTGTATAATAAATAGAGTGTACTGTAGATCCACATCTAGTACAATAAGGATGTGCGTGAGATCGATCGGCCCCACCACTGCGAACCCTGATCATGCATTACCCTAAGGGGCAGGTAGAAATTCCGTCCACGGATATTATATCGCAAGTAGGTACCTAGTAGTCAATCTAGACTGAGCCCCACAGCTCATAAATAATCCTGGCAGATCGGATCGATCGTATGCGATCGTAACTCATCTCGGGACGATACTTATTCGATCGATCGAGCGAAGTGGATTGAATGAATTACACCAATTGGCCAGGCTGATCGGACTTAACCGGTAAAACCCAAATCTGCGGGGGACATCATTATCGTCATATCGTCATGATCGACCATGATCATGTGGGGTAGGATACTGTACACAGATCTAGCAAGATACATTACATGGACTTGTCAAAGGGCAAGATATGGGGTTTGGACGTTGGTAGCCCCGCAAGATAGCTTGCTGCTCCACTATTATCTGTCATTCTGTCATTCTGTCATCTGTCATTATGAGGGGTAAATCGAGCTGGTTTCCTACCTGAGTGACTAGCTAAGTGTATTCAGATGGAACTATTCTGTAGTTATTATTATTAATTAACGAGATTAATCATTAGCATTGTATCCGGTTCGTACCGGGTATATTGTGCAATACTGTGACAGGGCTAAGAATGTCCGGTATAATTAATTAATAATTCCTCCTGTTGTATGTATCCACGTTCGTGAATTACATTATACCATAGCTAGCTACATGTTATGTACTTATCTATCATTTATTTAAACTCTCTTGGATTGACAGAACTTGCCACTATTACCACTCTTACTACTACCACTACTGATAAAACAGGGCTTCTTCCTCGCCAACTGAATTTCAACCTATTTAGATAAATCATAGAGATTCCATCCAGATCGTTGCGTCTACCATGGCAGTACTCAATGGCTCTGCTGCGTCTCCATCAACTGCCGCGCCGAAGCCGACGGGCGTCAAGGTCGTTATTGTCGGTGCGGGTGAGTGGACTGGTCCTATCGTCTTGACAGAATGCAGAGAAAGAAGGTCCTCTCGAGAAGCACAGCCTGATATTGTCGCTGTATTTAGGATTCGGCGGGTTGACTGCGGCCATCGAGTGCCATCGACAGGGCCATGAGGTTGAAATCTATGAGTCGTTCCCGGGTATGCATACCCTTTCACTACGTATGTATATATTTAGGCAACCAGCTGACGGTGATAGAACTCAAACCCCTCGGCGACATCATCTCCTTCGGCCCCAACGCCGGCCGCATCTTCTACCGCTGGTCCAACGGCGCCGTGGCGGCGCGCATGCGGCCGCTGAGCATCGACCTGCGCAACTACGGCTTCAGGATCCACAAGTGGGACACGGGCGAGATCATCACCATCCAGAAGACGCCAGAGATGGACCCCGAGGCGCCCGTGTTCAACGGCCACCGCGGCGAGCTGCATTCCGTCGTCTTCCACTACGCTCGGGAAGAGCTGGGCATCCCGATCCATCTGGGCCAGCGGGTGACGCGGTACTGGGAGGATGAGAACAATGCGGGCATCATTTTGGATGATGGACAGAAGGTATGTCCCTTCCTACCTGGTGGTGTCAGGTAGATTTTCGATTCTGACTCGAAAGATCGTCGCCGACGTGGTCATCGGAGCGGATGGCGTGCGGTCCAAAGCAAGAGAACTCGTGCTGGGGTACTTTGACAAGCCCAAGTCGAGTGGTTATGCGGTGTATCGGGCGTGGTAGGAACAAGATATCTTTAATGTTCCTGATATGTGAATTGTCTTGCTGACGACGCAGGTTCCCCAACACCGACATGATCAAGGACCCGCGCACAAAGCAGTTCTGCGAAAACGGCGACACGTTCAACGGCTGGATCGGGCCGGACGTGCATTTCCTGTTCTCGACGATCAAGAACGGGCAGGACTGCTGCTGGGTGTTGACGCATAGGGTATCCTCCTACCTACCTGATAGGTGTACTCCGTATGTAGCTGTGCTAACGCATTGACAGGATGAAGCCGACATCGACGAATCATGGTCCTTCCCCGGCAAGCTGGAAGATGTGTACAAGGTGCTCGAGGGCTGGGACCCCATGTGCAAGGCGATTGTCGAAAAGACGCCCTCGCTGGTCGACTGGAAGCTCGTGTATCGCGACCCGCTGCCGCGCTGGATCAGCGACCACGGCCGCATCGCCCTGCTGGGCGACTCTGCGCATCCGTTTCTGCCGACGTCGGTGCAGGGCGCGGCGCAGGCGATGGAGGACGGCGCGACGATTGCTGTCTGTCTCAAACGAGCAGGCAGTAAGGACCGGATTCCGGCGGCGGTGCGGGCGTATCAGGATATTCGGTATGCAGCCCTCATTCATAACGATCGATAGACCATTGCTGATACCGACGGATGCAGGTACGACCGCGTCCGCAAGGTACAAAAAACAGGCGAGACGACGCGCGATATGTGGCACAAGGCGGACTGGGACAAGGTGAAGCAGAACCCAGAGTCGATCCACCTGCCGCGGGAGGACTGGATTTTCAAGTTTGATGCCGAGAAGCATGCCGAGGAGGTGTTTGATGAGGTGGTGAAGAAGTTTCTATAGCCAGACAGACCTGACAGACCTGAATTGTATGCGTCTCTTACACTATGTGCATGAATTTCGTTGTTGTCTGTTTCTAGAAATATGTTTAAATGAGCGTATGATAGTATCTGCCTCCATAGTAAGAGAGATTCGTTGCAGTTACTTTATTAAAGTGTTATAGTAGTAGGACAGCTGAGAGGAGGACATTACTGTAGTATACATGTACCCTAAAGGGAATTCAGATAGTCAATGAACAAAAACAATAATAAAAAAACAGAATAGAGAGATATATGATATCCATCAGTTCATCATCTCATTATTTCCATCACTTTTTTTTTAACTTCCTGTGTCATGCGTTCCTTCGAGTATATACCCTGACTAATGCCAAATCTCATTTCATCCACCCAATTCAATCTTTCCCACTCTCTTCCACGAAGACCAAGAGGAAGAAAAAAGTACCAAAGCTCGACTGTTAGTCAACCCTCTCAATGATCTCCTCCGTCACCCCATTCTCCTCCTTCTCTTTCTCCTTGCCTTTCTCTTCCTCGCTATTCTTCCTCTCGGCAGCTTCCAGCGCGGCACGACCAACGCACTTGTAGGACGAGAACTTGCGCGCGGGGACACGCATTTCGAACTGTACATAAATAAAGATTAGATATGGAAGTTAAGCTTAGAGGGACCTGGCTCTCACCATCTCGTCAATCTCCTCCAGAGTACGATTCTTGACCTCCGGAAGGTAAAAGTACACCCAGGCGGCGCCGATCAGGCAGGATGGGAACCAGATGTAGCCGTACTTAGGACTGAAATCATCGTAAATGATTAGTTTTGTTGATTCATGTTCTGTTTATTGTGGTTCGGTGCTCACCCCCAGTTCAGCGAGTCGGGATTGATAAAGTACGGCGCCGTAAAGGTCGTGAGCCACTGCACAGTGTTAGCCAGTTACTAATAGCATGATTAAAATGCAAAACGCACCGCTCCCAGAAAGCCAATCGCCGCGGCCAAACCGAATGTATACGATCGAAGGCGCTGCGATGGCAGCTCGCCGCCAGACACCCACGCATAAGTCGAGACCATCCCCTGTGTATAGATCAGTCGCGCTGTTTCAGATAAGCTAAAAACTCCGGCAAGCCTACGTTGTATCCAACAATGAATATCACCGCCAACGCCACTATCACCTTGCCCGTCGACTCCGCCTCCGGTTGCACGGTGTACACCACCGCCGTGATCAGCTGGCTGATGCCACACAGTGTCATGCCGACCGTCAGGAAGACTCGTCGACGCCCGAGCCGAGAGGCCACTGCGCTGTTGATCACGATCGCCACCACTCCCAGCGCCGTCAGGATGCAGCTGTTCTCGAACGCGTTGCCGACGTTGGCCATTTCAAAGAAATACGTTCCGTAGGCTGCTCAATTAGCATGATTCTATACATGTATATAATGATGAACTGGTGACATACCAATCATGTACATCGCACCGCTGGCAGCCTGCAGCGTCACGCCACACACAGCCAGAATCGTCCGTCGCCGGTCGACCGGGTTGGTGAACATGTCCCACACCGACACGCTCGCGGCCAGGTTCCGCTCCATGTCCAGCGCCGCCTGCATCTCATCCAGCTCCTGGCTGACGGTTTCTGGGTCTGGACGCAGCCACAGCAGCGCTTTGCGCGCCTGCTCCCGCTTGCCGTGCTGCAGCAGCCACCGCGGAGACTCGGGGATGAACAGCATGCCGATGCAGAGGATCGCGGGGATAATATAGATCAGCCCCAGCGGGATGATGTAGCTGTTCTTGCCGATGATCTTGGCCGTGAAGTTGTCGATGATGGTGCCGATGAGGGAGCCGAGCGAGGTCCAGAATTGGAACATGGAGATCATGACGCCGCGGTAGCGGGCAGGGGCGCATTCCTAGATTATGCACGTAGAACGTCAATCAATGATCTTGACGACAGTCCACATCTTTCAAATCTCTACTGACCTGAATATACAGCTGGGCAAACGTCATGAGAAGGCCGTTCCCCAGACCGATGATCAATCGACCCGCGTACAGCGCGCCGATCGACGTGGTGGTCATCATGATGATGTTGGCGACGTAGATCAGGAGGCACGCCGTCCACAAACTGCTTTTGCGGCCTAGAACCACGGCGATCGGACCTGAACTCGTTCAGAAGTTGTCAAAACGAGGACACAATCAAAAGATAGAGCCTACCAGCAGACGACGACGCAATGAATGCGCCGAGCGTCATCAGAGACGAAACGAGCTGCTGGCGTGTGTAGGAGATGTTCCATCCAATCGACGTCTCAAGATCTCTCTCTCCATACACCTGTCGCCCACATTAGAATATTATGCAGACGAAAAAAAAAGCAGCAAGCTGTATCCTGATGTTATGAATGATATTACCTGGAGAAATCCAATCATGGCCTGGAAACCACCGATCATCGTAAAATCGATTTCATATTGGAACGGAGACATGGAGATCAGGGTGCAAGCGGCCAGACATTTCCAGTTTGTGAGGACGCCATTCTTCTCGCGGGGTGCCATATTGCTCGTCGAGACAGTTGAGTGTGTATACTCTACTGGATGTTGCTATCTCAAGACAAGCAAGACAGGGAATTTGCAGAGTAGATAGATAGACAGACAGACAGATTTGCCAGCCGGCTCTTTCTTCGCCATGCATGCATGCATCCTAGACAATGGACATGGCGTGGACCCTGAATTGATTATTAACTGTGATCTCCCCATTGGCGTCGGTAAGTCGTCTGCGCCAGCACTAAGAATGGGCAGTACATAGTTAGATTGCAGACAGACAGTCAGCCTACTCCACGACAATGTCAATGCTCAGTCTGGGGAAGCTGTGTTGTGGGGCGATGTGGAGAGAGCTTGTTAGACCAGTTCTCCATATGCCGTGATTATTACCCCAGACGGAGAAGACTCCCCATGGGGTTTGGAAGCCGAACCAAACCCGGATTCGATCAGCCCAGCCTGCCCTAGTATGTATTACTTCAGCACGGATATCACAAATGATGTTTGGCATCCCTGTCATTTCCCCTTATTAGCTAGCTGGCAGATCAAAGCGACGCGACGCGAGCCAGAAATGGACCAGTGGATCGGTCACGCCATTCCCACTTGTCGGAGACCCTGCATCTCGTCCTATGCATGCTCATGCGTACATGTACCGAGACGTGTCACCCTGTCCAAGAATCTTGGTCGGAGTCTTAGCCATTATTCGTACACGCTGAGTAAGCCCCTGTGCAGGTAGAAGGTCAACAAATTGGCATCGAACCAGTCAATCAAATACTCCGTTTGGAAGTAACCAGACCGGATTGCAGCGAAGATCATCACTGTTGAGTCATAGGCACCGCTCAACGTCGACTCTTGCCTTCGTAGGTGCTGTATCAGAGCCAGTGCACTGCTGGCTCGATGCCAATGATCGTAATTGCAAAATAATCAATACTGAGTTTATTGTCGATTGGTGTATGACACCTGTCTGCCAGTCCAATTAGCTTTTGACAAGACCAAGTCAATTAATTCTATCCGGGATCAAACTCAGATTTTGTGGAGAGCTCAGACTAGACTGTACTGTCACTGTGATTGCCATAGTCAATGAGCTAGCATTCTGTGACGAGCAAATCAAGCTAAGAGCCCAGACAGCTGTCAAGACTCCAAGGAGCGGGGTCTACATCCTAAATTACCCGGAATCAAGCACGATGTGGATGTGGAGAAGTCTAGGCAAGGCGATCTTGGGACAGCTCCTCCAGCCGTCGATCGTTTTTCCACGGCGAAACCAAACCAGGAATACGAATGAAGAACAGTTAGGGACGAAAATGTCGCGGGATGGGGAAGGCGAGGTGGCTGTTCTCCAAGACCCCAACACATGACCGAGGTGACAGGCACATGACTTCCAAGGTTGGTATGTTGTCATTGCTAATAAAACTGTTAATATCAATAGGAAAGTTTCTGTCGTATCGCATTCATCCATTAAAGGCATTAATTAATAATAAATTTCAAATAAATAAACGATGGACCGTCCCATGTTCGTTCTCCATAAAAAAAAATCGCACTCATCATGACCCATCGTGACCACCGATATTGACTTAAGTTTAGGGACGAAAACCATGCAGGATTCTAATGGAGAGCCCCATCAGAACCGCTATCAGTGAAAGCGTCCGACCGAGAATAAGGTTTCTAAAGATGTTGCTTCCTTGTGAGAAAAAGAGACTGGCTAGGTCCAGTCCCCTGACTAAATCAAACCAGTGCCATTTACGGTATAGAACAGCGACAGAAATGCTGTCGATGATAATACCCTCATGTCATCAGTCATCAGAGCCTGCCACAATGTGCTTTCTTCTGCTGCCGGCGTAAAGACGCCGTGTTGAGTCCATCTTACTCCGGAGTAGATGAACGTCCTGCTTCGAACTGGAATATATGACGTGTCTAACAATTGACAACAAACGTCAGCGCAGACACTCCTGTCTATCCCATCAGACATCCTGCCTAGGATCATCCGTTTGCCGGAGTGATTGGCACCTCGAGTCCTCCTGGTGCCCACGGAGACGGCATATTACGACCATGACCCGCAGGGTTGCCTTGATACTCATCGCCATTAAACCCGTTCGCAGTGTTGTTGCCCGCTGCTTCATTCGTGACCGCGCCCACGGGCTGCGCGCGAGGATTACTCTGGTGTGGTACAGGCTGTGGTGGTAGATAACTGTTGCCCGTAACGTTCCCCTGATTCGGGAAGAAGCACTGGTTCATGGCACCACACGTAGTGCAAGTGAACTCGATCTTGAAGTTCGTAAGCACCAACTGAGCGGCCGCCGGATGGCCGCTCTGGGGAGGCGGCTGCTGTCTCTGGGACTTGGGGGTGGATTGCGGTGGAGGTACTTGTGGAGGGACCTGATTTTGGGTCGGTGGTTGGGCGAATTGCTGCGGCGGTGGTGGCAGCGTATTCATCTGTGATGGATGATGCGGAACGGACCTGGACTCCGAGGGAGGTGCCTGGCTCTGGTGGGATATGATGGATACCGGCTGGCTATGCGATTGCGGTGCAGCAGTAGAATCCGGTGAAGTGCCATTCTGATCCATGCCTCCGCCTTGGACCAGCGTATGCGGAAGCTCATTCTGAGGCCATCGATCCTCCGTAAGATTCGTGAACTCCGCTCCGTTCTCTGGTTGTCCTGGAGCCGGTGGCGCTGCCTGCGACTGCGGCACATCTCCTCCGCCATCCCGGGGTTGCTCCTGAGGCGCTTTTGGCTGCCGCGGTTGTAATTTGGTCAAAGCCCGTTGGGCCTGTCTCATGGAGATATCGTAGCCATGATACCGTTTGACAGCCTCCACGACGTCCTGGCCCTTGATCTTATTCTTCATATCGAACAGTTTTGGGATTTCGTTTAGCAGAAACCGAACATGAGACGCCTCTGACCGCGCAGGGGTCCCCGACGACGCCGCATTTCGACGACAACTGTGGGCATCTTGAAGGCTGGTAATGTAAGTCGCATTCTTGTTCGCGCGGCACACGACCCGGAAAAAGCAGTTGGGAGAGGAGCGACAGCCAAGGACGACACTCTTCTTGTTGCTTCGCACCACCCGGAGATCCCAATGCTGTCTGACGGAGATGCTCCGAATGAAGTTCTTGAAATCTTCGAGCGAGCTGAATCGTTGGCCCGCATGGAGCCCCGAGTACATTTCCGTCATGGCGCGACTGAGAAGGAATATCGCCGCAGCGCTGTGGAAGAGGCTTGAGAATAATCTCATCAGTATCGAGTAGCAATTGGCATGACGGGACAAGGCATACGCGATGAGCAGTCTTTAACGTGAGCTAAGTGCACTGCGATAATCGGTCGAGTGCGGTAGGGATCGTGCGTCAGATCAACATGGAGGATTGTCTGTCTGCCGCGCCCAGAGGGCGGGAAACACGACCACAGACCCAATGCCAGGATAGCGTGTGGACAAGTGAATTCGAGGGCGTTCAGGGCCGTTGGAGCTCGGGGAGCTCCATGGGAAGATAAGTGAAGCTGGCTGCCAGCGATGGCCCGGTGGGGCGGGAGCTTAACAAAGAACCCCGGACGGGCGATCGAAGCCAGCTCACCACTCACTATCAGTCCAACCTCCATCGCCAAAGAGCTGCAATTAAACACACTCACACCATGACTTCGTACGCGCTACTAGATCAGGCAGAAGAAGGTGCGATCTGTTTCCTCTTTTTTTTTCTTTGTTTCTAAGCTGACGACCGCAGATAACCTGCACAAATTTCGCCTTCTCAACGTCGAAGAAAAACCATTCAAGCGCATCACAAAACGCCTGCTCGCACGCGACTCGCTGATTCTCAACCCTTTGACCCTCCCTCCGACTCCGCCCCCGGAAGGAACTGACGGTGATGCGGCCGCAGCCGCCGAGGCAGAGAGACAGAAGAAGCTCGAAGAATGGCGCCAGTTCAAAGAGGACGTGACGCTGGACTTTGCCGCGTTCGAGAGCAGCATCGCCCGCATCCAGTTTCTGCTGACGAGCAACGAGAAGGAACGGGAGCGATACGCGGCCGAAAAACTGCGCATCCAGTCGACGGCCCAGGAGGTGCGGGACAACACGGCAGAACTACGCGTCCAGCTCGAGGCTGCGCAGAAGACGCTCGCGCTGCGGAAGACCTACGACGACCTCGCGGAGAAGATCACGAGTAACCGCCTCCTCCGGCCGCGGGAGGACCAGCAAGCCAACCTGGAGAAGCTGCGGGCGGAGATCCTGGACCTGGAGAAGGAGAGCAGGGAGTATGCCAAGACGTGGTCGGAGCGACGCGAACAGTTTGGCCGCATCGTCGAGGAAGGCATGCAGCTGCGACGGTTGATCCGCGACGAGAAGGAAGAGGTCGAGCGCAGAGAAGGCATGCAAGAAGGCGGAGAGGGAGAGGCCGGCGACGGCAGTAGCGCCAATACGCCGCGGCCAGAAGCTGAAACTCAGCCCAGTGTGGATGAGTCGACTACGACTTCTGCCTCTGCGGCCGGTGGACTCCAAGTGGAGAAGCCTCAAGCAGACGCGCGGGCAGCATCCCCGTTGCGCCAGTCGATGACCACGTCAGACGAGAAGACGGCGGAAGAAGACGTCAACATGGCGGACGAGGGTGAGGTGAGCGACAAGGGGGATGAACTCGAAGAGGGCGAAGAGATATCTGACGATAAGGGGGAGAAAATGGACACCAGTTAAAACCGTTTGTATGTCGATTCTTGATATCCTCTGTACAATACTACTGCAGCTATGATGGCATTGGCGTTGGTTGGTTAGGTCAGGATGATTTTCTCCGGATGGGAATAGATATGTAATTCATCAAATTGCATGATGTGGTCTTAATGATAGATATGACCATTGCTCTAGTTTTGTGTTTATTTGTTTCCTCCTTCCATGTCCGTCCATTTCGAGGCCGTCGCAGTGATCAGACAGCCTCAACCAACTTAATTAATTCCTCCATTCTATACGATATCGACACAAAGTTACAATGTTCTGTTTCGAATCAAGCGGACTCCCTAAGAGCCGTCTTCGCCTTGGAAATAGCATCCTTTGCAGCGTTGATCTGGTCGACATTGCTGTTGGAGCCTTTCTGGGCTTCCTCGGCCTGTAGGACACATGTCAGTTAAAAAAAAAAGAGACATAAACTAGCAGCAATTCCGAATAAGATATAGGCAATAGGCAATACTCACCAACAGAGACTCCAACTTGGTGATACCATCGGAGATTTTCTTCCTCAAAGTGGGGAAGACAGCCTTCGTTTCTTCAACAGCTTTGCGCTGAACAGATAAAGGAAAATGTCAGTTGTCTTCTTTGGCCATTACGAAAAAGAAAAAAAAGAAGTTAGGTAACTCGACAAACCTCCTGCTTTAGCAAAAACTCGCGATTCCCATCTTCATCCGGGAGGCCGGCATTTTGCTCCTCCTCCATCTTCTTCAGGCGGCTCGTCTGCTGCTCCAATTCGCGATGGTATGAGGCTTCCTCATTGACGAGGCGCACAAGAGACGATGTGGCGATGGCGAGAGGGTTGGATGGTGGCATTTTGTCAGGATGTATGTATGTGTATGTTTAGGAAGATATTAGACGAGTTGAGAGCGCTTCCTGGGGAAATAGATCAGTACATGCATTTGTCAATAAAATAGATTCAAAATAGGAAAAGCATGAGTGTTTTTTATTGGTTGCATTGAACGAAGCCCTGAAAAGGGAAAATTGTTTGTATGATTCCATCCTTGGTGGGAGGGAAATGATGTAATAATGGTCTCGAGATGACACTCGGGGACACAATAGGCGCAGAACATGCTCGAGCCCAAAATAAAAGTCAGGTGAATAGACTTGAGTGCATAGAAAGGCGTGAATATGAACAGAGAAACAGAAACACAGAATTTAAGACTCAAACAGGACATTTGATACCAATCCACCGCGGCGGCGGGGCATTCATGCATGGCAACCAAAACCCAAGAAGTAAAAGATCCATACTTGGTCATAAGGAAAAGAGCCTATTTCTTACCAGAGAAAAGATTTATCTGTCCCAACAGTCCAGGAAACAATCAGAAGGAAAACTTCAACACCTATCCACGATTATTGGGAGGTGATGCTCCTTCTATAGACGACGCTAACAATATCCGATAGTTTGGTTTGCACTGTTTGCGTTGCGGGGTTGCATCAACATGGCACGTGACGGGCATGGATTAGAAAACTACTTTCAGTAACTATGAATTGTTCCTCAGCTATTTGCATCAAGAAGTGGAATCGTATAGCAACGTGAAATTTGATTTCGAGTACATTGATATCCTGTCAATAAACTAACTCCCTACCTCCACAGTCACACTGATTCCTGGACCTGTGCGGGTTTCATACAATCCCAGTTGGTTCTCCACACGCAAGCACACCTCCATCAATTGAACTCGCACTCTCACCTCACCTTTGGATAGGGCTCTTGCATTCTCATATTTCTCCTCATCTGACCGCCATCCCAGCTTGTGGTCCACAATGTGTGCTTCCTTTTGAGAGGAGGATTTCTTTGTCCGTCCCCAGAAGGATTTTTTCGTGGTCGTGGGGTTGGATATCGATGATATCTGGGATTCTGGCGCTGGCTCTGGTACTGATGGATCTGGCTCCGCCTCCACTCGATGCCCGCTGAGGGCCAGTCTGGCTCGCAGAGAAGACCCAAGCTCGTCCAGGACTGCGGGCTGTCGCCAGAACTCCAGAGTATGCTCTTCTCCCTCGAGGCGAACGAGCTTCACGACCTCATTGGAAGGAAAACCAACAACCTCGGGCTCCTTGGGCGGAGAGTACGGGTCTGATTTTAACTCGTTGCGCAGGGAACTGACATTAGAGGGGATGAGAAGCAGGACGCTTTTGTACAACCCTGAAGCCGCTTGTTCCGCGAGTAGCGGGTCGACATATGTCGACAGGATGGAATGGATTCTTCGCACACGTGTCTCGTCTAGCTGCTGGTGTAGAGGCGCATTCCATCTGGAGCCCTGGATCAGGGTAGAAGGGCTAGACCGGATGCTCTCCTCGTAGGAGGGGACAGCGTCGTCTGCTGGAGCTTCGAAATTCGACTTGGACATGCTGCGTGGTCGAATTATTTTCAGTCAGGAATACGCGACAGGAAGCAGGAGAGGCAGAATGTTCCTTGCATAAGAGGAGTCAAAGGACACTGGTCATAATGCCGCAGATGAAATGCAGCATCTCGCATAGACCTATTTTTACCACCTGTCATGTGCCGACACGACCAGCCAACAACCCCGAAAGTTTGAGTCAGTAGTATAACTACATGCCTGTATCCAGGCATCTATCGACCAATGGTCACCGCAAGTGGCCGAAAGGAGCCCATTCTGGGGTGTGCCGTTCGAATGGCGCTTTCCGCAGTTACTGCCGGCGGGTGACATCAAAGAGTGCATTGTATGCAAGTAATAATAGCATCACGAGTAGAGTCTGCCTCTCGATCAGCCCGGTTGGTATTAACCCTGTACCAACGGGTCAACCTGCCGAGTAACCAGCGCCCGGCCAGGAGAGTTTGCTAGTTCACTCCTCCAACGCTCAGCCTCAGACGGGGCCAACACAGCCTCACTGCCAAGATACGTAACTTCCTCGTTCATCCATCACCTACCTCAGTAAGTAGTGCCTACGCATAGCCGCAACGGAAGAACTCCATGTAGTTAATAGCAGAGTTTCTTCCTGAGGAGGCCTTACTCTAGGCCCCCAAACCGTGACATCACAATGCCGAGAAGCCGTGCAGAATCATGCTCCACCATTTCGGCCAGCTCCAGTTCATTCCGCGTGGTGCCCGGCGAATATCGCTTATAGCTCGTTTAACCATGAATCAGATCATCAGTTCTGCTTGTGTTGCCCGACTATAACGCGGCCCACGTTCTGTACTCCGTACGTTGCCCTGTCCGGCAGCATCCAGTCAGTGCACCTCGTGCCCTCGTATTCGAGTCAATGACCAATAGTATATGACATTCCGACGAGGCCATGCTATCCATGGTTCGCGGGGCGAGGCGACGCCCTGCTGAGTTGCCTGGGGAAGTTCTCGAGAATGGCATGGTAAGAAAGCCTGCGTAACTTTGGACATGGATAGGCATGCGATACCATAGGTATATAAGGCTGTTGTACCACGTCAGCGACCATGCAGAGTCATCCACCAATTCATGACTGCGCTTAGACCTGCGAATCTCTATATCAGCTTTATTCAATTATATATCCTGATCAAAACTTACAACAGGATCTGATAACATTGCCAATCCAGCTCTTCAGCAGCAGACACAATAATCCATCGTTGGAGATTCGATTATCATTAACACAGTCAAGATGAGGTGAGCAGATATGCAAATCGCATACGGCGAACGTTGCTAATGCCGTCCAGGTACGTTATCGCGAGCGCCAACGAGTATCTCGTGATCACGGGAGCTGGCATCCCGGATCTTCGAATCTGCAAGAAGGCCTTGGTGATGCCATGGCAGCGAGTATGCTTAATCCTCTACAATACGATTTGCTGCCTCTGCTGACTTGCACAGTGCTCCAAAATCTCCGTCTCGCCGTTCGACTTTTCGCTGAATCTGCAGGCCATGACCATCGAGAAGCTGCAGTTTTCTCTCCCTGCCGTCTTCACCATCGGTCCCGACAACAACCTCGATTCGCTAAAGAAATATGCCCTCCTGCTGTCCGGAAACGCCGATGGTGCCCCCCAGCCCAAGGGGACGATGAACTCGACCCGGAATCATGTGCAGGAGATCGTCAAGGGCATCATCGAGGGCGAGACCCGGGTGATCGTGTCAAGCATGACCATGGAAGAGATCTTCAAGGAGCGACAAATTTTCAAGACAAAGGGTGAGTGCATGTACTCATATCATATAAAGTAAAGCAAGCTAATTCGATGCAGTTATTGAGAACGTGCAAAATGAGTTACAGCAATTTGGACTGCGAATGTGAGTCTGCCGTCTATTCTTATATGGATCTTTGTCTAACGTGTGCAGCTACAATGCCAACGTCAAAGAGCTCCAAGACACCCCCGGCAGCGAATACTTTGCCTTCCTGAGCCGCAAAGCCCATGAAGGCGCCCTTAACCAAGCCAAGATCGATGTCGCCGAAGCCCGGATGCGCGGTGAGATCGGCGAAGCCGAGAAGAAAGGCAGAACTAAGCAGGAGATCTCCAAGATTGATGCCGAGACGGCTGTTCTCGAGACGCAACGCAAGGCCGAGAAGGCCAAGGCAGACTCGGAGTTAACCAACCGCCAGACCGAACTCGAGCGTGATGTCCGGCTGGCAAAGATCATGGCTCAGCGGCAGACAGAGATGAAGGACGCAGAGCTGCAGAAGGCAGTCGAGACGAAGCGAGCTGAGACGGAGCTGGAGCGTCTGCGCGCAACGGAAGTTACCAAGAGCAAGGTCGCGCGGGAGGCAGCGCAGCAGAAGGCCGATGCAACGTTCTATTCTGAGCAAAAAGCCGCCGATGCGAGTCTCTACAAGCAGAAGATGGAGGCGGATGCACAATGTATGCACCTTCCCCTACAACAACATCCCTATACCGTTTGCATCCATGACGTGCTAATTGTATGTGATGTCTAGACTACCGTCAAAATAAAGAAGCGGACGCGCAATTCTACCAGAAAAAGCGTGAGGCCGAAGGAATCACGGAGATGGCCAAGGCGTACGGAGCCTTGATCAACGTCCTGGGTGGACCGGACGCCTTCCTGCAGTACAGGATGATTGAGACGGGCTTGTATGAGAAGCTGGCGCAGGCGAACAGTCAGGCTGTACACGGGATGCAGCCGAAGATTACGACGTGGAATACTGGTAAGACCTACCTAATTACTCAGTTGACTGTCAGGTCACTAATATAATAATGAATATATAGGCACAGCCACCAGCGACGCAGATACCACCGCCCCAATCCGCAACATCATGCAGTCGCTACCCCCGCTGCTCAGCACGATTCACGACCAGACAGGCATTGCGCCTCCAAGTTGGGTGGCTCAGATGCCGAGCAGCAAGCCGGCTAAGTTGCAGGTGCAGAAGCTGAATGCTGCTTCTGACCAGGTCAACGGTAGCCAATAACGCACTCTTTTTTTTTCTCCCTTTCTCTCTTATGATGTATAGAGTACCTATTTCTATCAATCATTCGTTTTCCTGGCTGATCATACGGCTTGCCTTGTTGCTATCTATTGAGCAGCGAGCTTTTTTTTTGGACTTATTTGCTCAGACTGTCGCTGAAACTGATACCACTTCCTTATCTCTGTATTTATCCTCTCTTTTGCTCTGTTCACAAGTTTTTGCTTTATCTGTGATGTACGATCCAATCAATTGTTCCTCCCTATATATGCATACTCCCTATGTATAAGCTGTCATTAGCTAAGCTGCATTGACTCATTCATCTCGTCATCTATATTATATACTTGTCTTCCTCTCTAGACGGTCTCCGTCTTCGTCTTCTCCACCGCTGGCTCTGCATTCTCTGCATGGTCCGCAGAGGCAGCCTTCTCATCTCGCTCGCTGTCTGTACCCGCACTGCCAATAACCTTGTCTCCCTGCTGCTGCTGTTGCTGCCGCAGCCGACGCTCCTTTTGAAGCTGCTTCGCCACCTTCCGGGCCGGCACCCCGGGCTGCGTGTACAGCAGATCGATCTCCTCAAGCGTGAGGTTGGCCGTTTCGGGATAGCAGAAGTAGACGAGCGGGATGAAAGCGAGGTTTGTGCACATGAAGATCAGGTACGCTTTCCACTGCAGCCGGTTGATGATGACGGGGGTGATCATGACGATGACGAAGTTCTACGTATATATACATCAGCATGTGCGATCGACTTGAGTGGTGCCTAGAGTTGAATTCTAGGATGGATCAGATCCTACCCAAAGCCAGTTAGAGGAAATTCCGATCGCGGTCCCCTTTGCTCGGGCATGCAGGGGCAGAATCTCAGGGACATAGACCCATGGGATGCAGTTGACCGACGCGCCGAAGATGAGCATATACTATAAACCGTGATCAGCGATCTGACATTTTGCTAGAGATCTTTGCGATGGAAGGGTTATATACCGTAAAGAAGAAAGCGACACTCGCTGTCGACGCTTGTTTCTCGATCGACGTCCCCTTGAAACTGAGGAGAATGGAGATCAGCATCATCGACACTCCCAGACCCAAACTGCCCAGCATCATGGGACGACGGCGTCCGATGCGGTCAACCAGCAGAGAGGGCACGAAGGATCCCAGCAGAAACATTATTTGGATACTAAGAATCTTTATATTAGCATGTTTGACAGGGAAGAACTTTGATCTGTATCTCGCACGTACATGCCACCCAGCAGCAATGACAGATTCCTCGGCAGCCCGACATTCTCCTGCAGCACTGTGGGGACGAAATACCTGTATACCACGCATCAGTCTAATCGATACCTCCGGTATTTGGGAAATTGATATGATGATACTCACACAACAAGATTGATCCCGCCAACCTGGTTCATAAACTGCATCCCATAGGCCAACAGCACCCGCTTGCCGGTCTGGACCTCGTCGCGGTGGAAGAGCCGCGCCCACGAATACCCGCCTTCCTGCGTCTCCAGCCGGATCGCCTCGAGGATGTCGTTCTGCTCCTTGACGATCTTCGGGTGGTCGGGCGCGCGGTCGTACACGTCGCACAGCACCTGGAGGGCTTCTTCGTTGCGGCCTTTGTTGTAGAGGTAGCGCGGCGATTCAGGTAGGCCGAAGACGAGAGCGATCACGACCTACACCTGTCAGGACAGTTCACACGGGAAAAGAGAGTAGGAATGTCGCTCACAAAGGAGAAGATCATTTGGCATGCGATTGGCAGCCGCCAGGCCAATGCTCCCGCGCCGGTGAAGCTCATGCCATAGTCGAAGAAATACGCTAGCATCATGTTGATTGTGTCAGTTGTCAAAACAGCATCTCGACGGCCGTCAAACATTGGCAGTATTCTTACCGATCACAATCCCTAGCCCCACGAACAGCGCTTCGGAGCAAACCAGTCGACCTCGCTTGTGCGCTTCGCACAGTTCGGCTTGGTACATTGGGACGGTTGAGGTCTCGATGCCTAGATACAGATCCGTCAGTGCTTCTTCTATGTCGACAGCAGGTAGGCCAGTCTTTATCGTTTTACAGACATACCCGTCCCAATGCCCGTGACAAACCGCCCAATCATCAAATGCGGCACGGAGAAGCAAGTGGTCTGCAGAGTCGCGCCAACCTAGATCAATTCGCAATTAGTTTGTACTCCGTCATCATCATACCCTATGATAATTGCGAACGAGGGATGTATACAATAATAAAACACATGGCAATCCACATCGCCCGTCGCCGGCCAAAATACTCGCCAAAGATAAAGTTCAGAATGCAGCCGCTGAAGCAGCCGAGGTTGTAGATGCTGACGATGATGCCCAGCAGGCTGTCGCTAGGGTGGTGGACGACATTGAGGAAGTCCTGGTCGGTGACGATGCCGCTGAAGACGCCTTGGTCGTAGCCTGCAGCCAGACTGTTGTTAGAATGGTCAAAATCAATTGAAGGCACTATATTACTGACCAAACAGGATAAATGCCATCTCGCAGGCTACTGTGATCGCCAGCTGGAGCGTGAAGCCCCGTCCAAAGAGGTTGAGCTTCATCGTAGTCGGTCAATTGCAAGCTATGCTGTCAGGACGTATACATATGCATGTACTGTAGATGTACGTATATAGAGAGGGTAAGAGTGGATTTATTATGAGGGATCTCTCAATCCCGCGCAATGTCGACAGACAGACAGACAGACAGAGATCTTCAAATAGCTAGCTAGCTAGCTCTAGGTAGGCGATTAAATAAATACATGCATTAATTAAGCCCGACGCGGAATCACGTCAATCGGACCGGTATCACCTATCTAAGCCAGTACGGAGTAGTATTAATACCATGAACCTTTCTCTACCGTCTTGAGATTGCTCATTGTTGGAACGAATCTCTTTTCGGCCATTTTCCGGTGGCGCCTAACCAACGTAGAATCTGCGTAATAAATGCCCCGGTTGGAGAAAAAGAGTCTATCCTCGTGGGAATAGCATTCAACGGTCCAATAATCATCCCGATGGGGAATTCGCGAATGGATGCGGCTTGCGGCATTACTCCGTATCCCCCCGGACATTCTCCATACGGAGTACAGAGTACGCCAGTGAAAGTTGAAACTGGGGGAACTGGGGTAAAGATTACCCGGGACGGAATCAGGCGCGAGGAATGGGACAGCCTCAGCAAAAAAGATGCGGGGAATTTACATGGCCTCTCTACTCCATATACCATAGGAGTACGGGGTAGTAAAGAGTATGGGGTAAATCCGTAAGCGGCGTAAGCCACAACGTCCGAACCGACCTATCAGCGTCGAGGGATCTCCGTTGCCCAATACGGAAATCCGAGCCTTCGACTTCCGTCTTTGGACAGCATGCGTGGCGAGGAAGAGGAGAGGGCAGGTTAGCCGAGATGATGATCAATGGAGATACGAGGAGACTCCGGAGACAGAGAAAGAATTTCCAGAATGAAGCAGGAATGATTGGAGTCGTCAGTCTCTTTATAGGAGATTGAGGTTGTGTGGATTGATTTCTCGCGTGGTTGTCCACGTGTGTATTGCAGTCCTACTCCGAATGCTTGAAGAGCCAGTTAACAGAATGTTTAAACTATATCGAATAGCTCTACAGAAACTGGTCCAGATGCCGCTTATATGGAGCAGCTGCATTGCAGTAGCTAACATCGTATCTCTACTAAGCCATAATACCTCCTGCCAACACTGCCACTGTCATCGGCTGAAAGAGTGAGTGTGATTGGCTTGTTTGGATGTGCCATTACATACGCTGGTCAAGATGTAAGAGTAAACTGAAATAACTGGAGGATGACAATGTCACTGACCTATTCCTGTCTCTAAGCAGTCCTGATGCAGGCACGATCACGTGGCACCCCACATTGGCTGCCATGTTTCACCGCCTTCACTGACTGACATCCTTGACAGCATTCACTCGACGAGTCGACGACAATACGAGATCATCTCACGGCTGCGTATTCACCTGTGTAGCCTCGCGGCATTATATTGCTCTCATGTCCCTATATACTCTCCTCACCATCAAGTTTTTGATACTGCCCGTCTGATTTCGGTTTACATGCTGCACCACCCACCATGCCGGCTCCGTCATTACTCGCCATGTGCACTCGCATGGCCATACAGAATGCGAAGAGTATGTCGACTGTCGACTCTAAATTATTATCGTCAAATCTGACTGGCTTTCTAGATCTGATGGACATCGGGGATATCCCGTATTCTCTTGCCCGGCCCTTTCTTATGAAGATCGAGAGCCCGGCGCAGCTGGTAAGCAGCCTGCTCATTTCTTTACAGACTGCTCCTTTCGGAATACTATTAAATACTAACTACGGCTTGTTTCAACAGCGCGCCATTGAACTACAGTCGCCGCACATCATGCAGGACGACCGCGAACTCTGGATCGAGTTTATCAAGCGGGACGTCCCCCAATGGGACCGCTTCAAACTGCCCGAAACATGCGACTGCTGGTACGACGTCTATCGCGACCTGGTCGAACAGGTCCAGCGCGAGGTCGACGAGGACGCCGCGCGGCTGAAGCTGGCTGTCGACCAGATCAACTCCAAGCGGGCCAGCAGCGGCTCCAAGTTCCTCGTCGACCGACAGGTCGCGCGCCTGCCCAAGCCCCGCCCGACCCGGATCCAGCGGTATGCCGCCCACGACCGCAAGATGGGCGGCATCGCGCCGACGTTCTCGGTGTCGTACAACGCCGATGGCGAGAAGGTCTGGTCGCTGGAGGCGCCGAGGCTGCGGCCGGAGCGTAGTCGCTCCGAGCCCAAGAAGAGCAGCATCTTCACGGCCAAGCGGAACAAGGCGCTGGCCGTGCCGACGCACTGTCTGAAGAGCGAGGTTTCGCAGATCAAGCAGGTTCCGCGGTGGCTGGTCGACGAGCACAAGCAGTCACCCCCGGCGCAGACTCCCAGACGGCCGGTCGCTGCATCTTCGAAATCGCTCTCCGCAGTTCCGTTCGCCAGTTCCTCCAGTTCCGCCAAGTCGGTCAAGGTTTCTCCCGTTTCTGCTCCTGCGAGCTCTTCCTTGCAAGCTCGGGAGGACAGGTTGCGGGCTCTGACTTCCAAGCACACAACCACGTCTGCCCCGTCTGCTTCATCGTCCTTTGCGCCATTTTCTACTGGACCATCTTCTACTACTCGATCATCTTCCGCACAATCTACGGCGTCACCACGCGCAAAACCAGCTGAGAATCGCCCCGAACAGACACCGAAGTGTCCAGCAGGACCTCTTCCTTCCGAAACTAGGAACACGCAGCCATCACCCGACACAAAGTCCGAGTCAACAAAACCATCTGCTCCAACCCAAAGCATCGACAGCACAGCCAAATCTTCTTCGCCTGCGGCGGCGCCCACGTCCCGTCCTCCTGCTGCACCAGCTCTCATCCGGAAACGCCCGGCGCCCAGCGTGTTTATCCAGCCGAAGAGGAAGAAAGTCTAGTCAGTCTTTCTACTCTACTCTATTCTACCCTACCAAGGAGAAGTTTCGTTACTTCATTCATTCATTCTTTCTTTCTCTCTTCCTTTTTTCGGTGACAGGACGGGACGGGACATTAGCATTGGCATTGTATTAGCATTGTATTGGCATTGGCATGGGCATTCTCTCAGCGGCGGCGCATACTATCTATCACTATGGATGGATGATCGATACCCCCTTTTTGTTGTATTAGCATTTGCATTTGCATGCGTGCATTCTCTCTTTTTCAGGCGCGTGGGCGGAATGGAATCGATTTGGATAGGAGAGCCTTTTTTGATAGAATAGGATTGCTTTTTTTTTTCTATTGGATTGATTGATTGGATAGATAGGATCGGATTGGATTGGATGGTAGGTTAGGATTGGATAGGATAAGATAGGATAGGATACAGGAACCAGGCGTTAAGTTAGGTCGGTCGAATCTAAGAATTTCAAGAATATATAATTGGTGTTTATTATTGGATTGTGGATGGTGTTCATCTCGTTACATTACATATTCTAGTTCCGTTGTCATCATCTGTCGTATCATGTCATGTCACTATCATATTATATCTTTTTTTTTAAAAGGACAACATCCTGGGTGGGTAATTCATAATTCATAGTAAAATGGGGAATGTGAATAGGATGGATGGATATGACATGATCCAGCAATGGAATGGGTGAGGAGGAGATAAATGGATTCATTCATTTCCCTGACCAGTGTCGAGATGAAAAGACGTCAGTTGACCCCCCTACCCTTCCCATTATGATCGTTTTTCATTCTTCTTTCTTCTTCCGAGGACACAGCTTCAGACAGACAGCCTGTTGAGCAAGGTCTTGATCTCCTTTCCACCCCCTTTATCGAAACGAATCGAATCGAATAACTCAAATCATCGATCGATCAATCACTCATTGCAGAAACCCTCCACGCAGAGCAAGGACCAGATGTAGCGTTGCGCCTCCTTCGAGGTTGTAGTCTGCTGCCGTTTTGTCGTCCGCCCTGGTGGATTTCATTCGAGTTAGGATTTCATTCAACAAAAAAAATCCGCCTATATATTGTACGTGTGGTACGTACATTTGCTTTCCTCCAAAGATAAGTCGCTGCTGGACTGGAGGGATACCCTCCTTCTCCTCGACACGCTCCTTTATCCGCGACACCTGTTGTTCCGACATGATCAGTACCGTACCGTATCAGAGCCGCAAGCTCCGTTCGATGCTTGTGATGCGAGAAGAGTGTGATTGTTTGTCTTTCGACGTATGGCACAGTCCAGCTCATCCATCGATCGATCGGTCGGTTCGTAGGAGATAAGAGGTGGTACCTTGTAGTCCGGCTCGATATCCAGCTCGATCTCCTTTCCCGTAAGGGTACGCACTCTGTAGGCAGAAAAAGCGCGTCAGTATCTATACATCTGAGACCTCGCGTGGATTGCGTTGCATTGTAGTGTTGGTGCTGGTGCTGGTGCTGGTGCTGACTCCGCATGCTGCAAGTCATGCAGGCATATCAAGCTTGACGGAGACTCACTTGATCAACATGTTGGCTGGGTTTGAAGAGTAGTAGTGTCCACAAGTACGAGAAAAAGAGTTATATGGGAGATTTTGAGGTCAGGAACAAGAGCTTGCGGCGAGGTTTCACGTCGAGATCAGAGTTCGGGAGTTCGTAGGCAACTGACCGACTGTTGATTACTGATGGTTGCGGTGGGGTCTGCGGCCGCAGGCGGGGTGCTGCTTTCCCGCAACTAAGGCGGTGCACGAGGTAGATTGCTTGCAGGCAGGCGGATTTAGCTGACATTAATATTCCATTCAATGCCAACGTTACTCCGTAAATTGTGTTACTGGTCTTCAGAAAATAACACTAGTCACTGGCTGTAAATTTCCAACAGTCTCAATTCAATCTGACTTGGAGATTATTCGCATCAGCTTAGCTTAGCCTCTAGATCTCCGACTTGACCAATAAAAATAAACATCTACATTCTCTATCTTCATCTCAGTTCTCAGTAATCCTCCAGACACAGCTGAGCACGCCATGGCAGGAGTCGTCTTCGAGGACCTTTCTGGCACGGCCACTCCGGTCTCTGAAGGCGAGAACCCGTATCAGGCCCTCATAGCAGCTTCGAATAATGATCCGGTTTGTCTCGTCATTCCATTGCTATGAATTGAAAAGAATAAGAGCATTCTAGATCTCACTGAGTTCTATTTTCTGACGAATCTCCAGGTCCAATTACAAGCCCGATATGCAACCCATCGCACCACGAGAAACGCGCAGCAGAAAGCTAAGATCCTCGACCCCAGTTTCCCAGGCTGGACCCTGGATGAGACACTCGCAAAACTGGACGGCCCCAACAGGGATCCTACGTTCCTCGATGACAGATTCTGCTCCACGTTCTGGGGCCGTCCGCCCCTGCACATCCGCAACCTGGTCGACATGATCCAGCGGGAACTCCGACAGGTCGCTCCAAGTCAGTATACAACCTAGACCTCGCTGGCGCCAAGTTCCGTGACTCATGTTAATTCGAATGATCGCCAGCTCTCTGGTTCATGCCCCTGGAGAATCTACACATCACCATCTTCGAACTCGTCCATTCTGTGACCGAACCCGAGATGGAGGCGATCATCTCGCCCCTTCTCGAAACAGGCGCTGCAGAAGAGATCGTCAACCTCCCTTTGCGCCATCGGATACGCCTCATCAAGCCCATGATCGGCTACGACGCGTCTGCGATGGCTCTCAGCTTTGTCCCAGCTGCTGGGGAGGGACGCAACAGCGTCAGCAGCGATCAATACACCTATCACCATCTCCGCCGGGAAGTCTACGACAGGACAGTTGCGGCAGGCGTCAAGCCTGTGTCGCGGTATATAGTGCCATCCGCCCATCTGACAATCGCACGATTCATTACGCAGGACGGGTTCGTCGACGACAGTGGCCGGGTGGACCACACGAGGGTACGCGCGTTGATTGAGAAGATCGAGGAGCTCAATGCCAGACTCGAAGCCGAGTACTGGCCCAAGGAGGACGGGAGCATCAAAGTAGGCGGGGAGTGGATCATAGGGCAAGAAAAAGGCGTGGATTTTCGAAAGGGACGGCTGTGGTATGGCGGGGGGGAAAACGTCCTTGTAGGGAAGGCTTTTTAGTTACACGTAGTGTACACCTATAATTTAGTAAACGAGCAATCAAGATAGAAACCAGAGTCCTGTACGGAGTACTTCGTACTGTAGAAATCAACGGTGTTGGTGGGTGATATCAACCTTAGTCTTGGCGGGCGCTAGTCCTGCTGAGTCATTGTTCTCCCCATCCGGCTAGCGCCATCCAGATCGGGCCTAAGCGAACGAAATCCCACAACCGCCGGCACACTCCATCTGGCTGAGGCTCTTGCAACGACCGAGACACCAACGACCATCAGCATCTGGCGATCCGGCACAGACAGTCAAAATGGTAAGGACCTTTTTTTTCCCCTTCGATGTCCTGTTATTTTTGAAGGAAGAAAATTGGATGGAAGGGAAGTGTTCGAGAGGGTGGTGGTAGTGGACGGCACACGAAAAGAGGATCTACTGCGAAACTGCTCGTTGAAAGACGCTCGTTATCGAGGCTGCGGTCGGCATGGATGAGAGGACGATGGCGATGCGAATACGACACATTCTGCGAAGATGAAACCGACATGATGGTTGATATGAAAGGTTTACGAGATGAGTTTGGGTCCTTGGCGATTACAATTATCGACCCCTCGATCCTTTCTAGATCTCTGCATGCCCGACTCGATTCGATAGCAATCAAACGAGCGGATTCAATCTTGCGGAATCGGGATAGGGAATTTCGTTGCGGATGGATAGCGGATGGCTGGGTTTCAGTCAATTGGTGACTTTTGCTGATGATCATCTCAGGTCAACGTTCCGAAAACCCGCCGGACGTACTGCAAGTCCAAGCAGTGCCGGAAGCACACCCAACACAAGGTCACCCAGTACAAGGCTGGAAAGGTCAGTCGCCAGAAACCTAGATCTTGTTATTCGTACTCATGCTGATCTGTCTGCAGGCCTCCCTCTTCGCGCAGGGTAAGCGTCGTTACGACCGGAAGCAGAGCGGTTACGGTGGTCAGACCAAGCCCGTCTTCCACAAGAAAGCCAAGACGACCAAGAAGATTGTCCTGCGGTTGGAGTGCACCCAATGCAAGGCCAAGCACCAGCTGGCCCTGAAGCGCTGCAAGCACTTCGAACTGGGGTAAGTCACCTGCGCCTGACAAGTGAAGACGACCATACTGATGTTTTTCCACAGTGGTGACAAGAAGACCAAGGGTGCCGCTCTCGTTTTCTAAACTGTTGACTGGCGGCGTGGTGTTGCTTCCTTTCTGGTGGGCTTTGGGTTTTCTGCATTATGTGCACGAAATGATTTATTCTCAAAAATGCCTTGCCTGCATACGATGTATTGAGTGTTGGCAATCAGGCGAAATGAATAGGAATTTATAAATCAATTCCATTCAGACAGTACCTAGGAATCGTCTGTCTTTCGATTCTGCTGTGTTCTTCTTTTCCTAACAAGTAGGAACAATCAAGGTAAAAAAAGAAGACAATAGAGGCATTCACCACCCAGTCTGGAAGCAGACAACAACACAATTAAACTACGTAATATCCATACCAAGGTATATCATATGACTAACCCTTTTACATTATCTGCTGGTAAAATAAAAGAAAGGAAAAGAAGGAAACAGACAAACAACCCACTAACTCGAGATCAGCATTGGCGGTTTAGTTTAAACCCTTCCCTCTTCATCGATATCCCAAGATATACAGATGTTGGTAGGTGAAGAAAAAAAAAGTTACCCTAAGTTTACTCTTTCTTTTCTCTGCACAATGACGCTCATCACAATAGAGGAAAAATTTAAGAGAGTGTATGTACATGCGGGCTCCAGAGTTGTACTAGGCTACTATACTGTATGATGACATCACTTGACAAGAACATACTAGTTTGAGCAGAGCTATGGTCATCCCATTTCCAAGACTGGATTGAATGTATGCCAAACTGAGAGGGAAGGCTTTTCCTACGGAGTATTTCTTCTTCCCCTAGAATCAGACTGTCTTAGCTCTGTGAATCGATTAGTGTTGGCGTAGGCTAGTCGTAATATACTATAAGAAGTATAAAATAAGCCTAATAAATGCATGTAAGCAAGCAAGAGGCATTAAAACCTATTATAGATCTGTCTGACTGTCTGACTTGGCATTATTAACTTGGCTCGAGTTTATATATCTACCGACATATCTAAGTCTTATTGCTTCAGATCTACCACGTCTATGCACCTCCATTTTGGCTATTCTTACCAATCAATCCTTCGAGTGAAATGCGTTTCCTTCTTTATACCATCAATATTAATATTAATATCAATATTATCAATAATTCATCCATGCCTTCTATCTCTCCACGTGCTTCGAAGTCCGATCGACCAATAGGACGAGTGCCAAGACGAGATTACCGTTCCAACCAATCACACCACCCAGTGATAGAGAGTATATCGTCGACCAATCAGGACAGAGAACGGCTGCAGTGCTTATCAGCCAGGAGACTCACTCCAGTTGTCAGTCACTACGTGGGACATTAGATTATTCCACACTAATAATAGATAGATAATACGGACCCCTGCTTCCTGTCGTCAGACGCAAGTCAGACAGATATGGATCAGTACCACAGGGCAATTCCCCTCCATTATGGGGTATTTGTCTTCCAGGGTGCGACTTGCGGGAGATTATACCGATCGATCGACATGTCGATAGAAAAGGACGACGATGCGACGATAATGAGTTTTCGAAAACGTAACAAATGATAAAGATAGATAGGCAGGCCTACGCTATCAGCTATCAAGACCCTTGTCGTTCTTTCGGACCCCCGGCCATCTCTATCTCCTTCCCGATTTTGACATGGATTTGTTCCGAGTTTTCTTCTCCTCGGCGTATCACCACGGCTTTTCCTCGTTATTGTGGACGTGTGATACGTGAGATTTTCTTATTCTGTTTCTTCTTCTCTGTTTTCTTCTCTTGATTTTTCTGCCATTACGTATTTGCTATTATGAATATTAATGCCATCTTCCCGTCCATGACACGAGATTCAGTGTTGATTGGCATAGGGGTTTTCCTTTTATGGTAGGTCAGTCCGGAGGCCCAAGGTGCCTTCGAACTGGCAGATTCATCTCCCTAGGTAGTAAGAAGTAGTTAACTGGCATGGTGCCCGTTCTTGAAGAGAAAAGACTGACGGATGCCGTGATCTATGGATTTTTTTTGCATCAATTGACTGTTGAACCCAACTGAGTTCCAACCAGACAATCCCTTGCATTTAGCAGCTGCGGACTATATATATGCATTTCTAGGAATTGTCAGAATATCCTGATTGCGAAAGTCAAGAAGAAGACCGCTTTATCCTCGTCACGACTAGCGAAATGAGCGGCGAAAAGAACCCGGATTTGCATCCAGAATTAGGAGGTCCAGCAGAAGAGGTCGTTGCCGCGGTCGAAGACGGTGTCGCCGTCAATGCGTCCGGTTGGAAAGACCAATTGAGCCGGCAATATGGCCTGCTTGGTCTCTGTGGGATCGCTCTCACCGTTGACAATGCCTGGGTTGCGCTGGGAAGCTCCATTTCCGTGTCTATTCGTCCGTACCCTGCGTCCTGCATTGTCATGATACTCCATATACATAACTAACAGACGTGACATCTAGTCAACGGTGGTCCTCCTGGCCTGATCTTTGGCCTGATTGTGGCAGCATTTTATTACTCCTTTATCGGGTTGAGCTTGGCGGAGGTAAGAAGACAGACCACAAAGTAAAAAAGCATTGCTCGAATCTTGCTGACAAGCCAGTTCGCGTCCTCTGTGCCATCAGCTGGAGGAGTCTACCACTGGGCCTCCATCACCGCCGGCCCCAAATGGGGTCGCATGGTGGGATTCTTCACCGGATGGATCAACTTCTTCGGCTGGATGTTCGACCTGGCCTCGCTGATCCAGATCACCTCCAACATCACCATCCAGATGTACTCGACTTACCACCCCGGCTTTGTTCTCCAGCCGTGGCACACCTACGTCACCTTCGTCCTGATCACCTGGCTGTGCACCGCCTGCGTCATCTTTGCCAATCGTCTGTTGCCGTACACGCAAGACGCCGGCATGTTCTTCGTCCTTGCCGGAGGGATCGTCACCATCATCGTGCTTGCAGCCGTGCCTAAAACCCACGCCTCGTCGCAGTTCGTATGGGGTTCGTTCACCGAGAACAACCTGACCGGATGGACCGGGGGTGTTGCGTTCCTGTGCGGCGTGCTCAACGGCGCCTTTACCATCGGCACGCCGGATGCCATCACCCATATGGCGGAGGAGCTGCCCCATCCACGACGGGATCTGCCAAAGGCAATCGGCCTGCAGATCGGCCTGGGGTTTCTCTGTAAGTTCGCAGTCCAGGTTCTCGAGTCCGTCCAGTGAGATGTATCTAATAATGGAATGTGTTAGACGCGTTCTGCTTTGCGATCGCCTTGTGCTATTCCATCACCGACATCAACGCCCTTTTGTCCGGGATTGATGGCTATCCACTTGCAGCGATCTATTCGCAAGCCACAGGCAGCGCTGGAGGGACGTTTGGTCTCCTCTTCATCATCTTCTGTTCGTCTATCCTCTGCACGGTTGGGACTGTCTTGACGGTATGTTCTCCCCAGATGTTGATTCCTATCAGATCTAACACTGCAAGATAGATATCTCGTACGTTTTGGGCGCTGGCCCGAGACAATGCTGTACCATTTTCCTCCATTTTCGGCCGCGTCAATGAGGGCCTCAGCTGTCCTGTATACGCAACATTGCTGTGTGGTACGTCTTGAAATCGCAATCTTTAACTTTTCTTACTTTCATGCCAACCTGACAATGCAATCCACCAGCAATCTTCGCCACCGGCCTCGGCGCTATCCCCCTAGGCAGTGACACAGCCTTCCTCGACCTAACAGGATCCTTCGTGATCCTCAGCACGACCTCATACGCGATCCCATTCGCCGCAAACCTATTCTCAGGCCGGAAGTATCTCCCACGGGGTCCGTTCTCCCTGGGTAAGAAAATTGGGTATTTCGTCAACGCGACGGCCGTTATCCTCATTACGGTTTTTAATATCTTTTACTGTTTCCGTATGAACCAACCCCCTATCTATCTATCCTCTTTAGAAAAAGAGGTCTAGAGCTAACGCTTGCTGCGTGTCTAGCATACTCCCTCCCCACGTCAGCCGCAAGCATGAACTACAACAGCGTAATCCTGGTCGGCGTGTTTGCCCTCTCGGCGCTGCTGTGGCTCGTCCACGGCATGAGGAACTATGCCGGTCCGCGCCTGACGGCTCTGTATCACTATGATGATGGCAACAACAGCAACAGCAACAACATGAACAAGGCTGATTATCCTGAACCGTCCAGCTGTGGCGAGTCAAGGGAGAAGACGGCGGTGGTGGAGTCGTCGTCGGCATCTACGTGAGGAGATATATACCTAAATAAAAAAAGAAAAAAGAAAATACTTGCTATAGGGTGGCTAGGGCTGGAAGTAGGACTAGGATTTAATTCAATGTATATGTGTAGATAGATATATAGACGTGGATATATCTGCTAGATGTAGAATGAATGAATTAATTGATTGAATTGCATGATTCTCCATCCATCGATAGATACATTACAACCATTTGTATTCGTAAATCCTACCTCCCTACTTGCCTAACTAGGTATGTATGTACAGTACAACATACCTACATACTTAACCTAATAAAAATAAACAAGTATTACCTTCCCAATGGCCAATGATACAGTTAAAAAAAGAACAAACGGGTATCAATCAATGAATAAAAACCCTTAAATCCTCAAAAAAGGTGCAGTCCAGTCCAGTCCAGTCCAGTACAGACTGAAACTGGTCATGCTTATCATTAGTTATTAATTAGCTGCCTGCCTCAACAACGTCCGCATCCGCATTATTGGTCAGCCTCCTCGAATGAATTGCGACTCAATATCGACCAGCCTCGGCTCATGCGGTTAATGGCTCCGCCTGCGTGGATGGTGATGGTAGTGGGTGGGCGTTCGAGGTCGAATGGGTCGCTGCGCGTGCTTGCGGGTCTGGCGGTGGTCGTGTTGGTGGTGGTGGTTGTATTGGTCGATTCTCGTCTTGACCAGACTGATTCTGATGACTCTGCGGTGGAGATCCGGTATGGGGAGGTGTTGTCCATGTTGCTGCTGCTGCTATTGTTGATGATGTTGATACTGCTACTGCTATTGCGATTGCTATGTCGAGTATCGAAATCGAAATCGACCGCATCTGCATTTTGATTGCTGTAGCTGCGTCGTCCCTGTGTCTCCGCTCCTGGTGATGAATCCAGATCGAACGGGTCCTTTGGATCAGCGAAAGGGTTGTCATCGAAGAGACTTCTCGAGGGCAGCGGGTCGGCAAAAGGGTTGGATAGTCGTGGTTGCGTGTCCGTCCTTGTTTTTCTTCCTGGTTGGATCTGGCAACTAGCGTCTCTGATAATGGTGGACTGACAACTGGCATCGGCATCGTCTTCGACTTAAAACGAGTAGTAGGACCCTCTCGCATCATCTGACCTGTCCGAGTTTTCATCTGTGAGGCAGCTTCTCTGATGGCCTGCGCCGCTCCAGTCAGAGGACGCGTCAGTCTGGCTGCTACTTCCTGCAATTGCTGATTCCTGCCACCGGCTTGAGTCCTTGTTTGTCCCCCCAACTTCTCCCCGCCATAGAAATCCGCAGCCGGTCGAGGTATCCGGTGCCTGCGACGTCGGAGGAGATACCATATTAGAAAGGCCAGCGCGACGAGAGCGACGGCCCCCAAACTGCCGCCGATGGCAGCACGGATGCTTTGCAGACTTGAGTGTGGTCCCCCAGCCCCTGGTGAGGCCGTTTGAGGAAGTGCGGTTGCGCTGGCAGCTGGTTCTGCTTGCATCCGGGCTTAGCAGGAATTCTCGATCGGAAGAAATCACTCACCATCGCCACCAGGATTCGATGCAGCAGCAGTGGTGCTCGAATCTGAATTCGGACCGGTCGATGAGGCGGCCGTCGTACTGGCAGGGTCTGGTCTAATCTCTACGGATGTCGTCGAAGATTGATCGGTGACAGCAGGGGCTGTAGTATCCGATGTCAATGTCGCCGTGAACACATCTGTCCGCGGGACTTTGGTGCATCTCAGCCCGTTGAAGGTGGTAATAGTAAAGGAAGCCATCGCGGACACCGCAAGCCGAAAGCCCAAGAATCGATGCTCAGGTCAATCCCCCCACCCCACCGTGATATCAGATGAGATCGAAGATCAAGGTGAACGATCAGTTGGCACCGATCAATGATAAGAAAAGTACCCCACAGTCAAAGAACAGATGGCAGATGTGGATAAGACATCGTCAAGACGATGCAGACAAAAGAGATCGCCTTCAGAAAGAGGTTTGGCCGGGTATGACGAGTAGCGTAAGACGAGTGCAGGGTCGCGTTTCAGGATGCCATGGTGAGGCACGTCGCACAGGCATGACGGCCCTATTTGCGATTGCACCAGCACGCCAGCCATGGCAGAGATACTCACGCGTCCACTGGACGATGCTTTCGTATACTTTCGTATAGAGCAGCATGGGCGCCTGGTGCTGCCAGGTCGTTGGACCGCTGCCTCGAGGGCGGCTACAAATCCTATCAGCTCGACAATCGCTGTAGCTGTCTGTCACATGACAGCTGTCACGTGGGAGACAGCACTGGAAATAATAATAATATTATTATCCAAGCTGCGGTGTGAGCTGTCGAACGTCTCGTTTGCTGATGGCAGCGTACATCATACTATCTATCGTACGGAGTGCATGTTCGTACACAACGGCGATGCGTATGGTGGGGCATTTTATGCTGTATCGACAGACTTCGACGCCATCACCCGCTCAGTCGCAGTCCTCGTCCTCATTCTGATATCCGACGATATCCCATTATTTTTTTATTGTGCAGGCGAATTAATAGATTGCTGCAGCCGGCAGAAAACGTCGACTGTGGGCTGGGGCCGTGGCCCAGGGCGCGTCCATGGATGCACCCCCCGCCAGGCGCGCGGAGGCCATTGGGCCATTTTGCTTAGGCACAGACGGTGCAGGCAACCGATCGGCGCACGCAGGCGTCCAACTGGCGAGCTGTCAGGCTGTTAGGGCGATTTAAACTGTTGTCGGATAGAGCTGCAGCACGACGGGGAGAACGGCCCGGAGCGGTTCCCCACCACCGCTCAAGCAGCCCAGCACGCACCTCAGCACCTCGTGTCTCTCAGTTTCCCTCATCCTCATTGCCCTGCCCTGCCCCTCCAGCAGTGCCTGAGGGCATCCTGTTGCCGGCAGTGTCACGGCGTTGCCAGCAGGCGTCGTCCGCTGCGATATTTCGTCTTCTCTGCCATCCGACCGGGTGCCTGCTCGTCCCGCAGAGCATGTGATCCGCTCTTGTGCCTGTCCCCTCCGCCGTTGTTGTTCGACAGACTGTGGATTGACCGAGTCCCTGCGTGAGAGGGCTTTCTCTTCATCATGTTTGGCTGGGGCGGTGGTATAGGTAAGCTTTGCTGAGCGGCTATTCCCCGAGAGTTTCCAGACCTGCGTATCTTTGTTTGCGTATCTCTGTTTTTGTTCTTTGAATGCTATTGTTAAGATCGACAACAATCGACGAGATCGATGAGAATCGATCTGAGATCCAATGATCTAGCCATCTTCGTCATGAACATGGTGGATACAATTATGGCCTGCAGACCAAGACATGAATTTGTAGTTTCGAGAGGAAACCTATTTCGTTATACTCCTACTTGTTTTTCTTGATTCTGTCTTTATAACACAACTTCAGATGTTGTCATTTCCTATCCCTCGGTCAACTTGCAAAACCGCAAACGTTTGTTTCAACGCTAATATAGACAGGATCATCCTTGGTAGGGGTTGATGTTGATCGAGAGCGGACCCCCCCTGCTCAGCCCACGCCATTGGATTTTCCTCAATATGATCCTCCTGGCATTGCCTCTGAAGCCAATCCGGCCACTTTCGACACCTTGTATCGCCAACTGATGGCCATCAGAAAGCCTCAGGACATCTCTGTCGACCATATCAAAACCCTCAACCTGCAGGTCGTTCGTGATGTCCCTGCTTCAAACATCGTCCCGGAAGAATTGCTGAGAGGCCTCCCGCCGCTGCCGTGGGAGGAGCCTCAAGCCCCAGAATCCGGCCAGGAGGCCTCTTCACATCTCATGGGAAATGGCAATCCTTATCCTCCCCGGGACAAGTATGACGTGGCCAAGACAGAGCTTCTCTTCGACAACGACGACGCTTTTCGGGAACTCGCGCGGATGGCGCCTCGCCCTGGCCGGCAGAGGGTAAGATTGACCCAGTCGAGGAAATTCTGGGCCGGCCTCGAACGGATGGCCCAGTACTGGGATACTAGTCTCGATAATTATTATGAAAAACCGGTGCAGCCCCAGAAATCCACCAATGGAGAGACAAAGACAGACGCCACGCAGACGGACGAGACTCTGGCAGCTGACAAAGCTGGAGATGACAAGATGGACGTGGACAGTCCACAGGCCGAAAAGCCACAGGTCGAGACTGTCTACACCGGTCGTCGCATTGGTGCCGGACACGAGATGCCAGAGGACGCCCGCGAAGACACGCTTCGTGGGCTCCTCGAGATGGCGGCGTGGCCGTTTGGATGCCAGGCCGCCGTACCCTCTCTTCCCCCGAGGCTTGCGGTGCGCAATCTGCTGTTCCCTGTCCGGCAGAGTCTTGTGGCAGGAAGGGCTCCCCAAGACCGGCAGACGGCGCGGAAAGGGATCCTCGAGGGCCCAGTGCTCGTGGTGCAATGCCGTCCGGAGACCTCGTTTCGGGAGCCCAACGAAGCTCCCGGACAGGGTCAAAGAGAGATGTGCGACTTGATCCGCGAAGTGGGCGCGATGCTGCTGACAGCCCAAGAACGGGCCAGGGAGGGTTCAGTCGAGGTGAAGCCCGGCGAGGGGAAGTGGTGGACGACGACGCCGCGCTGGGGCGGAGCTCCCAACGACGGCGTGCCAATCGATACACCCGAAAACACGGACAGTAAACCGGAAGAGGAGGAGGCGACTGGCCACGCGAATAAGCGATCCCGGTATGCGGATCCGCGCATGTCCTCACGACGGCAGGGTCCTAGTAATTCGCGGAAGGCGTCGGCGGCGGAGAAGTGGAAGACGTTGCAGGCGGGGCCGAGTCTGTGGGACAAGAAGATGCGATATATGCAGATTGGCAAGCCCAAGAATAGCCCATTTGACGATGTAAGCCAGCTCTTTTTTTTTTCGTTCACTCAATTACTAAGACGTTGTCTAGATCTACATGATCTCCAGCATCAACCATCACGTGTCGATCGTGCACCTGCGGGTGCACCGGCGGTACCTCGACTACATCACGCACGGCAAGAGTGATTTCCACGAGGAATCCGGGTCGTCAGACCAGCCGTGGTACGCGCTGTCGCTCCGCCGGACACGATGGTACGACCTGATGAAGGCGGAGGAGCGGTTAGAAGCGTTTGAGGGCGTGTGGCGGGTGTTCCACTACTTGATGAGGAATAATCCCGATTAGTGGAGAACAGTACGATGGAGACAGAGTAGGAAAGGGAGGAAAAGGGGGAAATATTTTTTTTATTTCTAGAAATAAACTAAAGAAAGAAAGGAAAGAAAGGGGGAAAAAAAAGATTGATATCAGTAAATAATACGTACGAGAGGGGGATATAGGGCTATGATTTTGATTTCTTTTTTCTTCCTTTTTTTTTTCTTTCGCCATGTTCATACTGCATCCATCGTTCTTAGGAATGACTTTCTTTTCTTTTCTTTTGCAACATAGTATAGTATATAGTAATCTTGATTGATAGCTCTCGCCAGTGCTAATATACTAACTAACCAATACTCACATTCAATTCAGGAGAGATTGATTAGCAATAGCAGTATGTATTTCCATCTTATATTCCACCTTGTCTAATTCTCTCTCTTATACCAGAATAAGTCTTAGTTAGGTCTTTCCAGTCACAAAGATCATCAGAAGAAGCCTACCTAGTATTTCTACTTTTTCTGTCTGCTGCAGCAGTGTAGTACAGTATGTATAGCACAGCACAGCTCGAGATGCTACAAAAGCTATTTATCTATCTATCTATCTATCCAGTGCAGCTATCTAGCTAGCTAGCTCTAGGCAAACATATATTCTGTCGAAAGCTTCCTCCCTGATCACTCCTGATCACTCCGTATGTATGCACATACATTATTATGTCTTCACTATGTCTTCACGCTGAGGAGGGGGAGGGAGAATTTCTTATTGCGATTAAATGAAACTAAATAAAATAGGAAATTAAATGAAATAGTGAAGGATCATATCTGCAGGATCGGGAAAAGAGGGAGGGAGAGACTGGAGTGTAATCAGAGTCTTTATCTTCGTCTTCGTCCTACCACCTCACTGAGAATAGATAGTATACAGAAACTCATTCCAAGTTTGATTTAATTAATATACCTGAAAAGGGAGAAAAAGAAAGACAAGAACCGATGTCTACGATATCTACATCTAATAGCTGGGCAGGTTCTTCTTCGATTTGACGAAGATCAAAACACAATCGAACGATTGAAACAAGAGGGACAGTTAAAGTATCTATTTACATTTCTATTTGCTCCCTAATAGTATTAAGAAATAAAAATAAGAAGTTCAAAGTATGGAGCTCGAAAATGGCAATTGGTCCTGTCCTGTGACAGCCGTTTATCCTATATATTCAGTATACACTAACATGGCCACAATGGCTTTTTCTTTTTCTTTTCTTTTTTTCTTTTTTTTTTTTTGATCCAGCTCCAACTCTACTCACAGTTACAGCCATCATTCATTTACTCTATCTACCGGTCTAGGGTATCGTCTGAGGCCAACCTCTCTGATGATCAATCGTCATTGATTGATCAGATTGATCAGATTGATCATGCTGATGTGAGTGAATTGCACTGTACTATAACCAGATAGATTGATGCGATGCTTACATGCAGATATAGTGATATATATATGTACAGTACATTATGAGATTGACAAGGCGACGACTTGACGAGATGAGACCTCAACCTCGATTGAGAGATTGGTACTAACCGGCGTTCACCAGCGTAGTATAGTCTATAACAGAAATGAAATAAAAAAAAAGGCATTGCGATAGAATACAACTCTAATGAATACAGCATAATGAGTGAATGATTAAGATCGACAATAACAAATACTACAGTACTAGCTGGTTCATCATATTGCCATTGCAGACAGAACATTCTCCCTGTCTAGATACGTATATAGCTTTCGTTATACAGTATACACAGCAGCATTCCAGGAAGAAAGACAATGTGCATACCTAAGTGTAACTCCCTCTCGTAGTGTAATCTCGTAGTGTTAGATAGTTGATAAATAGTCTATTACTTTGCCATACCCTCCTGATAGTTGACAGACCGGCTTTCTTGCTTAATTGTCTAATTACCTACTTACCTACCTATCTACCTACCTATGGATATGTATACATGCTACAAAAAGTACTTTATAGTTAGAAAGTTACAACAGGACAGGACAGGAATGTGATAATGAGTAGAACGATAACCACTGATACAGCCAATCGTTATTCATTCGGTTACTGTTGGAAAACAATCCATCCATCCAAATCGACAGACAGACTGACTGACTGATAACCGACCTCAACTACATTAAACATAACTTACGGAGTATCTAATTGCATTTACATAAGTAGTAAACACAAAAAAAAAGGGAAAAAAAAGCAACGGCAGGAGTAATGCCTAATACCTAATACCTAATAAATGCTAGAGTCCTACTAACTACATGTACTCCGTACATAGGTACTTGAACACCTGCTAGCTGAACCTGCCAGTGTCAAATCAATCAATCTATCTATCTATCAATTTAACTATCTCAGCAGAACAGAGCAGAGCAGACAGAATCCTGGAGTCAGATGATACTGTAGGGAACTGCCTACCTAGTAGGTACTGAGTATGGAGTATAGTACACTACTCAGAACCTGTTAGCTGCCTACTCCGTAGCGAGACAATACGAAAGAAGGGGGCCTTAACTCATGGACCAGACCGAGTTTCAGCATTCCTTATTGAATCCACCATCACCACTACCATCACAATCAGTATACCATTGTATCATTTCATCCGTACAGTATACCGTAGTCTACTCCGTACAGGAACGGCGAACGGAGAACATACCTAGCTAAGTATGTACTGCACATACAAACACTTCCTTACTCGTATACTCGCTTACTTATACCTGAATCGCAATATCACTCCGTACTCCCTAATAATAATCAGCTGGTTACAAAGCAAAGCTTCCTCCGTGAATATCACCTGCTATTTTAGGTATGTACTGTACGAAGCACGGAGTATGGGGTAATAATAGAATAAAAATTCTCCGTAAGTTTGTTTTAACTTAGACTTCGTACTCCATACATGTAGGTAAGGTAGTTAGCTTTACCTCTAAGCTAAACTCTAGCTCTGACAACGGTCGGATATTAAGTTATATATCTACCTTACTTAGGTACCTATCTATTACCTTAGTTAGCTAAGTATGGAGTGCATACCTTAGGTACCTAGGTACGGAGTAATTAGGTACCGTACCTAAACTTGGGCATCTACCTAACCTAACCTATTACCTAACTTAGATACTCCGTCCTCCGTACTAATATACTACAGGATAGTACCTAACGTTCCTCAGGAGGTTTGGTTTCGACCAAATTCCTATTCTGTTAACTTTAAGGAAGTATGTACTTACCTACTACTACCTAGCAAGTTACATCGTTGAAGCTTGTTGAAGCTTGAGCTTTAGCAGAGCACTGGCTTAGTACGGGGTAGTCAGGTAGTCAGTGGCTGGCTGAATGAATGAGTCCCATATTTAGTTACGGAGTACAGAGTACAATCACTATCTTAATACAGTAGAGTTGCTATCGGTATGATTCCACTGATAAATAACAGCAACAGGAAGAAAAAAAATAATAACGACATTAAATGCCGCATGTATATATACGGAGTATACGGAGTAGAGTATGGACTAAAGGAGTAAAGTTATGGAGTATATAGCACTGGACGGAGCAAATAGATACTAAACTTGTTTGCTTTTGTTTGCTTTTCATTAATTGATTTATCTACACTTAGGTCTAGGTCTATTCTATACTGTACAAGCGACATCAAGTACTCTGTACCTTTACTGTAAACGTTCGCATACTTACCTGCAGTGTCCTCTTCTCTTCGCGATACGGAGTAATACTCGGAGTAGGACAGACTACTCGGCTAGCTCAAGGTTACGGACGCGCCGGTCCGCCAATCCGCCCGTTCCCAAGAATTGGATTTTGGGCCCAACGGTCTCAACCTAATACTTGATGCCTGCCGACGGCGTAGCCGGGGAGTTTAGCTGATCTCCCCAAGTACGGAGGACGGACATGCTCCGTACATACTCCGTGAGGACCGTGATTACGGAGTAGATACCCAAGTATGAGGGTGTATACTCCGTGCGGCAGATCACTGACGGACCGTTCTCGGACCGGAATTGCAACGGAGAACTGTATTGGCCTGCTGAAGCAGATGTCAGGCTGTAGATAGAACTGACAGCTGTCATTGTCATACTCATGCATGACCACTCCGTCAGTAGTCCGTTGGACCTAATTTCTGCGGTACAGTCAAGGCTGAAGGCTGCTGGCTGCTGGCTGCTGGCGAAGGCGACAATTTTAGTACGGAGTAAACCCGAACAAAGACCGACCGAGAAACAACCTAAAAATCAAGCTTTGACTTGGTGCTTGCAGCTGGCAGCTGCAGCGTGCAGCGGCTTTAGTCGGCGGTTGACAGTCGTTCTCGCACCGCTCGTCTCGCTTACGGAATAGACCGTTATGCCGATGACGGGCATATGTCTGTGGAGAAGAAACGGTCACCGTCTCACCAGACCGTAAGTTTTGCGACGACGGCCGACCGTTGAACACGATGAGGCTGCAATTGCAACTCCGTCAATGGCATGCCCCACAAACGGTGCCGCCGAGTGCGCTGACGAGTGACGACCAAGCCGCGAAATCATCGCTAACGACGCCTGTTCCACGGCGCAGGGACGGAGATCCCGATCCATCGTCTGGTGGTCCCATAACATAAGATTTATGACGGACGATGGACGGAGAATTTCTCGACAAGTCCGTCGACTCCGTCGCGGGCTGAGAAGTGGAACAAGTCGCGCACCCGTAAAATGCGATCTGCAGGGCCGTCCCTAACCAAGCTGGCTGCTCGCTCAGCATAACTCGGCCGAGTATAGGTTACGTACGTATCCTACCAGCAAGAAATGCCTAACCAAGTGCCGATGCCGATGCATGCGGCAGCACAAGTTGCTGTGCAGTTGTCGAATGTCGAGCTCACGAAGAGCAGATGATAGCGACGATCGATGATGCCCGCCCGTATTATTGTTCGACTTGCGGACCATACTCCGTACTTGCGCCTCACGGCAGTTGCAGTCACATCGGAGCCGTGAATGAGGCTGTAGGCAAACGAGAGTATCAGTAAGCGGTTGGTCTGGAGCAAGTGTAGGTTGGAAGCCAAGTCTGCAAGTATGTTCACGAGCTGACGGCAGCTGCATGATCCTGGTCTCAGCACGCGCTGTAATGAATATGTAAATCGACACAGATTACGGAGTAGACAGACAAAGAAACAGTAAACTGCAACGGACGAGATCACAATCGATCAGTCGAGTTCAAAAGTATCCTCGTAGTCATGCAGTCACGTCAGCATCGGGACGGGCGGAACAGGGGTCATCGCTGGCTGAAGAGCCAATCATGCAAGACAGCAAACGTCTTCCATCAGTTGAAGATGATGGCGATCAATCAATAAAGAAGACTGGGACGGTCGGCAGTCTTCGAAAAAGAAACGAAGAAACGCACAGCGGAAAAGAGAACTGAGCTGATATTCCCGTCAGGAACAGTCGGAATGGAGCGAACAGCATAAGCAGTCCATCTAGCTAGACTTTGTATCCATCACGTCGAGATTGACAGTTCCAGCAAACCCGTTTGGCAGATTGAGTAATTGTTTCCACTGCGACCAGTTAGTTGAAGCTGTGCAGTTCTCTCTGGATACGCCACGATGAGTTGGCCACCGCCAGCTGTGTTGTAAATTGCGCTGACTGGCAAATATGCCATCCTACAGTGCGCTTGTCATCTGTAGGTGTATCCAACGAATTCAAAAAAAAAAAGTAACTTTTCGTTCAATGCTTTGCACAAGTTCTGGCGGGACTCAACATAACCTGGCTGTGCTGTCAGCCGTAACGAGATGCATAGGGTACCAGTGCCAGTACGGAGTATATTGAATTGAATTTATTGAATTGGATTGAACCATCGGGGAAAAAAATCATACTGCCTGAAGGAATCCGTCGTCGACCCGAACTATCGACGTATCCCGGTTCTCGGGTTGTGGCATCTTGATATCATCTGCAATGGCCTTTTGTCTGCTGCAACATACCATTATTGTTTAGCTAGCTCATCACGCAAATACGGAGTACGAAGCTGATGGCAGACTCACGACCTTTTGCGGCTGACTTGACCGCTCCACTGACTACCGCTTATGCATGTCTTGCCATCCATGCGCCGATCCTCCAGGGATGGCCGTCACCTTCTATTTCTGAGTGAGGGAGGACGAGCCTGTCTGCCAAGGACAGAGTACGCAGGGCAGCCAATCCAGTGCAAGAAATTGCTCCGGTCTGTCTATGATCGCCTGGAAGACGTGGTCGCCGTGGTCGCCGTCTTGTGAGCTATCAACTCTGCCGATTCTCAGCGTCTGCCCCAGAAATCCTGCGGTTGTGGCGTCTACCGCCGCGACGGGGCTGTCGTCAGCTGTGATGCTATCGTTATTCGACAAAATGCTCCGAGATTATCACCTTGAGGCAGGCACAGTCGCATGGCAATGCAGACCTGCAGATTACAGTATAGATGTCAGCACTCGCGAAGGTTCATAGTCAATTCATCCTGTCGAGAGCGGTAGTCTTTACTCTGTGTACTCCGTACTTACGTCTTCATGACGTGACGACAGCCAGTACGGAGTACTGACTACTGTCTTAGTGCTTACTGCAGATCTACTCATCCCACTTGCCAGGTCGATCTGCCGGCCTGGACTGCGGGCGCGGAGTCGAAATTGGGTTCGGCATCTACCGAAAAAGGAAGCATTCGACGATGGCTTCGATATTGTCCACGCACGGGAGAATTCTCCACAGGCATGTCAATAGCTCGACATAATCGGACGAAAATTTACAACCTCAATGTCAATTTGCTGTGCTTGCTGTACGACTGTCCAGCGGGGCTTGGGATTCCTGAATCAAGTTTATTCCCTTGCCTGCCACACCACATGGCATATACTGCGGAGCGTACAGAGTAGAATAGAGTATGTTATTTCGCCTCAACTGATCCATTCTATCCAACCAAACCAGGTGGTGGGAGTCCTGTACCACCCACCTGGGTACGGAGTGCATAATACTCCATACACATGTTGAACACGGAGACCTCCTCTCCCCACTATAGTCAATGCCACAGACCAACCAACCGAACAACGCCGAGGGAAACACAGGCGCAAGGCCACCTGCAATGCACGTACGTGATTCGCAGGGCCCAAACACCGTTTTTCACCGACTCCGCTACGGAGTAGTTAGACAGAACCAGGGGGTTGATGACGGCGCGCGGCTGCGAGATCGTGCGAGATCTGATTCTGCACCTGGACCCTGAATTCTGAAAAATGTGATCTATCACATGGCAACAGAAACGTGAAACATGATGATGAAACAGGCGTCGAATAGACAGACAGACAACCAGACAGATGGCTTAGCTAGTTAATTAACCTTTTTGCAGGAAGATGGAGAAGCCTGGAGGAGGCCAAAGCACACCGGTGACACCACAAACGAGGCGCGGATAATTTTTCCGTGCAGATCTGGAGTTGCCACGCTATAACGTTAGTTAGGAGTACCTAGGGTGCTAGGCATGGAATGAATGAAGATAATACTCCGCACAAGTAGTTGTAAGTAAGGATTAGCTGAATTCCTGTAATACATGCTCTGTGCATACTGCTGTCTGCAATCTGCAAAGTATTTGGAATAATACTACATGGAATCTCCACAGAGTTTGTATAACGAAGTATATAGTTAACTGACGGGAAAATGTATAACCAAGACATCATCGATCGGTAGTATTCCGTAAGAGTAATCATAATACTCCCTACATTTGATTAAAAAAAATAAAACGTATCCTAGGGACAGTTCATAACGATGCAACGCAACACAACTCAGACCTACATAATAGCTAGGGGTTGAGAATAATTAAATTAAATTAAATTAAAGTTTTAACCTTTATTCAATACTCTATGGATTGATTGGAATTGGAACAAATTCCAAATCTCGAAATCTTGGCTCGAAGAAAACCTCTATGTACTCCGTATGACGGCGTTTGCTTTGCCACAGAGTAGGTATTATTATTACTCCGCATTCCTCGCGCTGAGTGGTACTGCATGATGAGGATATACATACATGTATGTACCTATGTATGTACCTTGTTAACCATGTACGGGATATGTATGCATACATAACACATTCCTCCCTGCTTAATCTTACTATAGTATGTACATACGCTATAGGGATTGGGTATTACATACAGAGTATGTGCACTCATAATAATTACTGAGTATATTATTATTCTGAGGATTGGTATTAATAACCCAGGTACAGGGTATCTAAAGAGTAGTTATTTTTTTTATGGCAGCGAAGTGAGTCTTTGACTTCCATTTGGCAGGCTATTGGGTTATTGTTACTAGTCTGGTAGGTACCTACCTAGTCTGGTCATATGACTTGTCATGTACAGTACGGAGTACTTGGGTACAGTATTCTATGCACAAGCAATTCTTGATATGCTGATGGTATCTGATTTTGGGCAGACAGGACAAGCAGATAAGGATATTCCCTGATCTGCAGTTAGTTAGGTTGGTTAGGTAGGTTAGGTAGGTTAGGTATCCATGCCTCTGGTCCTCTGTATGCACAAAGTATGTATGTATGTACAGTACCTACATGCAGCTAGCTACCTAGCTGTATGTATACAGTGTAATAATTACTTGCAGCAGGCATTATCATTATTAATTATTGACAAAGAAAGATTCTATTCTCTCCTGACTGATCAGTTCGTCAGGACTCAGCTAGAGATAGACAGATCATGATGTTAGGATGGTGAGAGTCGAGAGTCGAGAGTTGACAGTTTTACTGGAGATTAATCTGATCTGCATCTGCATCTGCAAGCATCATGCATGGCGCATAAAGCCAACAGTTATATAACTAACTTATGATAATGAAATCCAATGGATATTTTTTTTCACTCATGAAGTAAGTCATCGCATTGTTTTTCTTATTTTATTCGCGACCGTTGGACATAACATAATGCATGCACTGACCAGGTTCAACTTCCTGGAAATAATAGTTAAAATAACAGTGAATAATAAAATTTACAATAATAACAGCAGCACTGGTCTATATATTTTTTAGTGTGTACTGTATTCTCCTGGATGGAGAATTGGAGATCATATTATTATTATTATTATTTCCGCGCCACCACGTGGGCGGGCGGGAGAGCCACTACCACTGGCCAGGGAGGGATGGACTCGACCGAATATTCTAGCATTACACATACTTCGTACATACGTATTGTACGGAGTACAATCAGTCCATAATAATTAGAATAATGTGTGGGATAGATAGATGGTGAACTAATCGGGGAAATAGGGTGCTAAATATAAATATAAAAAAAATGCCCCAGAAGTACTACTTCGTACTCTTTTCTAGAGGATTCTTCTTTGATACGATGTACTCTAGGAGTACTCTTTGTAGAATTTATCACTTCGGGCGTCTTGTAAGGTCTTCCAGTACTATATACTTCGTACTCCGTATTTAGTGGCGAAATATTTTTTTTCAACATGCATATGATGTAGCTAGCTGATATTATAGGCAGGCTATACTCTGTACCTGATGTTTATTTTTCGTCAGTACGGTACGGACTAGTCGATCAGAACGGAGTACTCTGTAATAGTAGTAGTATTACCACTTCGTCTCAGCAGATTATGCTATTTATTATTTATTATTTATTCAGTTACAATCATCATAAAGTCGACAGGTTTGACGACATGACTGCAATGCTGCACTCCAAGTGTTATTTTCTTTTCGATGGGGAAGCGGTTAGTTAATTAGGCAAAAGAAAAAACGCAGCTAGCGGACATCTGCGGACTTGGGGCGGAGACGGAACGCGGACTTACCCCCCCCGTATACTCCGTATCCGTTAGGTAATTACTCCACCAGTTAGTCGAAAAACTTGAAAAAACTATATTGGGTACTATTATTGCTTATTGCTACCCTATTGTTTATTATTAGGAGGATCTACGAAGCACCTAAGCACCTAGGTGAGTATAAGTAGGTAGGTGCCTAGCTATCCACGGACTAATTATTACGTACGTATGGGGCGAATTGTAGACAGATAGCATAGCATAACGTAGCATAATAATATTGAATTGACTGTCGCAGGTATGAATAATGATGCGACATGTGTAGATGATAGTCTGTGGATTCTCTCCTTGCCAGGCGGAGTATACCTAATTCTGGAAGGTAGATGAAGGTACATACAGTACATGCATCGACAGCCACTTAGGATCTCTAGGATCTCTATCTTACACGCGTAGGCGAGTGACGGTCTGTTTCAGTAGACGAGGTGTTGCATTGCAAGCGATGAATCATGATTGATACGATTGATTCTGCGATCCACTACGGTCTACCACTAGGTAGGTGTAGCTAGCAGAGTTGCAGTGAAGGCAACAGACGAAATAGAATTGGAACATATACACGGTTGCCCAGCGTCATGGCCATGACGGTAGATATCTGTTCTGTGGTTATGTCTACAGCTGACAAGAAGAATATCTCCTCCGTACCTAGGTATCTACTACTCGGCTGTAGTCCTACGGAAACATGCATCCTCGGGGAAATAGGGAAGACTACCTAAGAGAGGTCCTTCCCAAGTAGGAATGTCCTCGAGAGATCCATCCCCTTCCGCATTCGGCAAAGCGCTGGCCTGGTCCAAATAATTGGCCTGGCCAGAAGAAACCAACCATTGGCATAACGCCTCCCCACACACGAGACAGCACTGCGCCGCGAGAAATGCCTCGCTATTATTACTATTATTGTTGTGGTTATTATTATTATTATCAGGATCGTGATCCTGCAGTAGGTAATACCAGAGTACCACAGTCGATTGATTGATTGATGATTGATTGTGGGCTCACGGTTCACGGTCGGGACCGTTTTTGGGCCTGGTCAGCGCTACAAGTTAGCTAGTCTTAGGCTAAGCTGGCTAGGCAGCGGGAAGCTCTCCAGGGCCATGGTAACCTGCTTTGTTAATTAAGAAACGAGGCGCGATCCAGTGAACCGGTCGAGTCCATGCGCCGGGGGTTTGTCGATCTTCCAATAGATTTTGTTCAATTCAATTCATTTTGTTAATTGCTTCCTTGCCTGATGGGACTGATTCATGTTGTCTTGCATGAGTATAACTATTATTATTGCTATTCTTGCTATTATTATTTTTTTATTCTTAATGGTTCTTCTGTCATGCTGCTATTTATTTTGATTGATCTGCTGATATGGAGGGGGTTGCGTCAGTACTGATAGCAGTGTCGACATCCGGGTAAATAATCTCACTTGATTTATACTTCTCTGTCCCAAATCCATGGAATCGACAGACGGTCCGGCCCATCTGTTGCTACCATGGATCAATCAAGGTACGCACCTAATTCCAGAGTTACCAAGGTACGGAGTACTGAGTATAGAGTGAGGTTGTGCTGATAATAATACCTCCTGCGGCAGCGTCCCGCGTGGTCGTGCCGTCGTGGGATACTGTCCCCCACCAACTGCAAACAAGCCACGCCCAAGTCCTCCGCTCGCACTCTGTCGACGACTCGACATACCACCGTTTTTCCGTTGCAGCGTGGAGACACGCAAGTTACAGACTTACAGTTGACACTTGGACAATTTCTTCCCCAGACTCAGACTTGCCATGCCATGCCATGCCTCCACCGTTACTCCGTCCTCCGTACCGAGTGCTAACCTTCTCCATACCCACGGCTCTGGTTTTGCTCTCCCGACAGGGGTGGCCAGCGTTGTCATGATCTCCAGTGCATCCCACTCCCGCTGCCGCAGCTGCCACATCTGCCACATCCCTGTCTGGACTACTATCGAGGGTGCTCTGTAGAGCGGTAGAACCAGTCAGTAGCTAATAATAATAATGACGTACTATATGCTACCCGCGCCATGACACATCATGGCAACTAAGTCACGTCGACTGACGTCCTACTTATCGCATCGAACCGACCCTCTGGTTTCGATTTTCGATAAGTCAATGAGGGTTTCGGTTCCGCTGTCTCAGGCACAATGTTTGGTGTCGCCCAGTCTAGTTCCGTGCCACTTGACAGGGGGTCGACCAGGGTTGTTGTGCCACCAACCCTACTCCGTAAGGACCAACGTTCGTCCTCCCTAAAGGATTGTTTGCCGTATTCTGTACGACACTGCTGCTCTGCTCGATGTGCTCCTTTCGACCGTTGTGGAGGACAGGACGGAGGACACGCTCTGACAGAACGATGGGGACACTGGATGGATACTTCCGACGAGAACCTCCGTACGTACGTAACTTCCTACTGATCCAGCGTTAGCCAAAGTCATGCTGCAGGTCGACCCACGGCCGGCCAAACCGGCCAGATAGTGGCTCAATGGCTCTGTAGTAACCATGACACCGGTACTGCCGCTTGGATCACCGTCGTCTCTGTTCGGGCTTTCAGGTCGCCGGCGGGGCCAGTTGGGTGGGGGGACGAGAGGGGAGGGGCCACTGGTCGAAATATTGCGACGACTAGTCGGGCCAGTCAGCGGGCAGAGGCCGCGCGTGAGGCGAAGGACAGGCAGAGCCTCGTCTGCTCGTCGCTCGACTCCCTCGTCGGGCTCCTCGCCTGCAGTTCCCGGCCTCCTGGGTTGGAGCGAGCCGGTGGCGCCTTCCGATCGACTGATTCGACTCGTGTGGACACGCTGCGTCCTGCCCGTGACCGGCACCTGATTGGGCCGTCGCCCGCTCCACCCGCTCTCTCCGCCAAAAGCGATCTGTCATCTCGCTCCCTCACCACGGCCTTTCCTGCTCAGGGCAGACAGAGAGCGCGTGGCAGGCTGAGCATCAAGGGATGAAGATGCCAGCCAGTGTGCACCTGGAGGCAGCCTTCCTCGAGTTTTCGCAGTCGTCGCATCGGGGACCTCGCTGCGGAGGCCGTCTGTATGGCACGATTCCATGCCCAACCAACACGGTTTGGCGCAGATACCAGCAATACCAGCAATACATTTATTACGGACTCTGTACTCCGTACAGCCTTCCCCTCCCCCTCGACGCTCCTCCGCTTTGTCTGGCGCGGTGTCTTTGTCTGTCCTGTCTGTCCTGCATTCCCCACCGGGATCGCAGTGTGACGCTGCTCTGGCTGGTGCTGAGCCCGATAGCTTGGCTGCCGAAAGGATCGGGAAACGGCAGCGCTGGATCGTCCGAATCCTGGCCATCGCTGACCCTGGCTCCTGACCGCCTGGACCGTGCGGCAAGACGCGCTACCGCTGCACTAAGTGCCGTGGCCTAGTGGGCTCCTGGCCTTTGACGGTCCGTTGTTTGTCTCTCGCTGGTCTGGACGGCCTGCTGGCCGCTCGTCGGTGACGGCGGACCTTATTGCTGCTTTTCCC